AATACTTTTGTCTCTCAGGCTTTGCGGATGATCCTGCAACTTGGTGTGAAGCCATCCTGGTTTGAATGCAATAGCGGCGATAAATTAGCTAGTAGCAGCTTTAAGGAAGCACCAGCAACTTTTGGAGATCTTCGTAGTTACATGATTGAGACAACCCTGCCTCCCATTGGTGATTCTGTAGTGGCAGAATTGCTGCTAAAAGTGTTGGAACCATACAGAAAGGACGGTATGTCATCAGTTCGTTTCTTTAGTAGATGATAATATGATATATCGTGAATGATGGAGATATTCTGCTTTCTGTTTGTTGAGAAGGGTTCATTCTTGATGATGGGAGAGCTAAATTGTATTCAGCTATTGTGAATAAGGGAACATGTGCAAGGTTTGCATTTGCTGCTGCAATTTTTGGTGATATCCAAGAAGCACTTTTCTGGCTGCAGCTACCTCAAGCTCTTCATCATTACCTGGATAAATCGACAAGTAGATCAAGCGAGAAGGGCTCAGAATCAAGTGTGCATTATCATTCTGAGCAAGCCTCCACATTGAACAGGGCATCATCTTCAACGGAGAGATCTGCACCTGAAAATATGGCGAAAGTTGCTGAGGTAATAATTAAATCTGATGTCTGTAATTTCCGGCCTACATATATTTATCTACTTTTGAATTTGGTGGTTTCTCCATTGTACAGAATTGTGGACAACTAAGTTCAATGGCATTTAGGCAAGAGCAACTATGGTTCAATGCAAATGAAAGAATACCTTGGCATGAGAAGCTTGATGGTGAAGAGGCTTTGCAAAAGCGTGTCCATGAGTAAGAACCAATCATGCCACCTTTTATTTTATGAAATTTTAACACATCTGGCCTATTTGTTTGTGCCACATGTTTTTCACAATCTTTGTACTCAGGCTTGTCTCTCTTGGAAACTTGGAAACTGCGGTGTCCTTGTTACTGTCAACACCTCCTGAAGGCTCAAATTTTTACCCAAATGCATTAAGAGCAGTTGTATTGTCATCTGCGGTATCACGATCTTTACATGAACTTGCAGTCAAGGTGAACAGCCTTAGACATCGATATGATGTTCTTCACTTTGGTACACAGCATGTTTAGAAATGACACAGTATTAAGTCATGAAATCTTGTAGGTTGTCGCAGCCAATATGGTTAGAACGGACAAATCACTATCTGGCACGCATCTTCTCTGTGCTGTGGGAAGATATCAGGAAGCATGTTCTCAGGTTTTACTTAACATCTCAGCTGCTACAGCATAAACTCTTATTCTCTTTTGCTTAACTTAATTTTACATAAGCCTGGTCTATAACCTACAAGCTGGTTATGTTTCAGCTTCAAGATGCTGGTTGCTGGGTTGATGCTGCAACTTTGGCTGCAAGTCATTTACATGGTTCTGATTATGCAAGGTAAAACTTTTCTGAGGAAAGTAAATGAAAGAATTGGTTGAACATGCTTGTAAAATTTATCTTCTTTTCATCTCAACGCAAACACAGCTGCAATAACCATGAGAAGGTGGTTTCAACTTGTTTGGTTTAGTTGTTGTAATATCCAGTTAGTGTATGTGCAGTAGTTATGCTTTATCTGAAAAATGTTGATGCTAATTTGGTGATATCAGGTTAATGAGCAGACATTCCTTTTCTGCAGCCCAAAGTGAACATAAATGTCTTGCCTGAAGCACTTAAAAGTGACACTATTTTGTTCTCCTTTCTCTTGATGTGCTATGGTAATTCTAACTTGCTGTGCGTAACCCATGCAGGGTACTCCAGAGGTGGGGTGATTATATTCTTCGCAGTGAACATAATATGTGGAGGTATGTTGATCCCTTACAGCTACAGGATTTAAACAAATTCATCACTCCTGCTCTACCAACACATCGTTTGTCCTTCCACAGAGCTCTGATACTATATGTAGCTGCTGGAGCACTACCTGAGGCTTTAGAAACGCTTCGCAAAAACCAACGACCAGACATCGCGGCGCTGTTCTTGCTTGCGTGCCATGAGATCTATTCCCAGATCACCACAGAATCAGAGTCATCAGATGACACGCCAGGGTCTGGATCGCCGACATCGGAACAGAGCCCCAAGCTCCGGTTCCCTTCCAAGAATGTGGACGACGAGGACCTGATCGCGGTCAGCGAGGTCTTCGGGCATTACCAGCAGAAATTGATTCATGTTTGCATGGATGCTGAACCAAATGTGGATTGAGCCCTCTTGGCGCCATGCCATGCCATTTGCCAATTGCCATGTGGGAGGGAGGCCCTCTCCTGGATGGACAATATCCGAAGCTGAAAGAGACCGAGTGCCCCCACTGGTCTCTACTACTCTTTGTAGATGTCAACGTCTAGCTTTTGCTTCTCCATTTTTGTCTGGTGTGAAGCTTTTTTTTTTCTTTCTACAGGATGTATGCTGCCTGCATTTTTGTCTGGTGTGTAATCTTTTTCTACGGGATGTATGTCGCCTGCAAATCTTGATGCTGGACAGAGCCGCGTTGCGCCGTATCCTACAAAAGACGCCGATGATTAGCATTGCTGATGTGGCATCTGTACGGAGAACCTGATAATACTACTTGAAAGGGATAGGCATTGCGGTGTTGTATTGTACTAGTAGGTGAGGACGCTTGGCACTGGCAATACTTTTCTGTAAGAATATATATATCTGTACATTTTTTATTGCTCTTTCTCGCTCAGGCTGCAAAAACAGAAATTTGGAAGTTGTAGCACATATGTATCGACTTAAAACATATTTAGGTTTGGTTTTGAGGAATCAAACCATCCAGAATGAGAAAAATCCCTACTTTCTCATCTAGAATTGGTGATCCATCGGTGGACAATTCCTCAATTCTTTTTTTGACAGGACAATTCCTCAAATTTGGTAGAATGTCTCCATTGCTCATTTCTTTTCTACTGGTACTTGTGAGTTGTGAGTGACTGGGGATCATGGGATGATGGATAAACCTATTCAATTTCTCAAACCAACACCCCCCCCCCCCCAAAAAAAAAAAAGAAGATTAACCGATCAATTGACCAACCCAATCCTCAAATATCCTCCATGTTACTATTAGGCCATGTTTAGATGGGACTAAAACTTTTAAGTCCCTATCACATCGGATGTTTGAATATTAATTATAAATATTAAACGTAGACTATTAATAAACCCATCCATAATCTTAGACTAATTCGCGAGACGAATCTATTGAGCCTAACTAATCCATGATTAGCCTATGTGATGCTACAGTAAACATTCTCTAATTATGGATTAATTAGGCTTAAAAAAATTGTCTCGTGAATTAGCTTTCATTTATGTAATTAGTTTTATAAGTAGTCTATATTTAATACTCTAAATTAGTGTCTAAAGACAGGGACTAAAGTTAAGTCCCTGGATCCAAACACCACCTTAGACGCTTGACGCATTGAGTCGTCGCCATCAATCAATCATGCCCTATTAAAATCTTGTAGCCACTGCTATGGAGTTTGATGAAAGCAACCTTTTTCTGTCCTAGATGCCTAAAATCATCCATGAACCTCTGTAATTAACTACTCCCTCTGTCTCATAATATAGCAACCTACAAGACGAGACATTTCATATTACAACGAATCTAGATAGATGCATGACTAGATTCATTGTACTATAAAATATCACATCTGATCCTAGATTGTTATATTATGAGACGGAGGGAGTACTGTAGTATTACTTTCACGCAGGTTCATTTCAGGTCCAACTTTCTTGGCCACATGACATCTTAAGATAACATATTTGGCATAGTTAATCATCCTCAGACAACCAATCAAGGAAGCATGATAAGCAACCACTACCATAACAAGTAGCAGCAACTTTCTATCCAAATTACATTACTGGCCCGAAACAAAATTCCATTTTGGCTCTGCCAAGTGCCAGCCAACCAACCAACCCCACGTTTCCATCCAAATTAATCACCAAACTTATCCAAATCACTTAATTAACTATATTAGACCGTTTGACACGACTCCGAACCGGAGCTCTACCTTTTTCCGAAGTTTGAGCCTAACGAAACGGTTTCAAAATACAAGCAAGATCAATAGTGCAGCCCACTATTAGCTCTAAATCATCTATAGTCAATATAATAGCCAATTCATATAATAGTTGCTTACTATACTATTAATATTTGGTCCCACCTGTCATACATACATTATATCTTGGAGCCCGTGCTGCAGCTGACTACAGATATGTAGCCCGCTGCTCTTCTCTCTTCCTTTATCTCTTTAAAATATGTTTATAGCTGGCTTATAGCCTGCTCTAAGGAAATAGTACTAACTATAATACTATCACAAAATAAACTGTAGAAATGAAGTTGGGTTTAGACAGCTCTACAAACCCTATTTTAGATCTAACTCATAAAATTAAATTTAATAGTTTAAGCCCTACCAAACAAATTGCAGTTACACAAAAAGAATTTTAGAAGCGATCGCTACCTAAATAGCCTGCGACCTCATGAGGCCGACAAACTGAGCACAGGTGACAACAATCTATGACTAGTGGAAAAAACTAGCAACACACCATAACGTTCCCAACAAAGAGATTCGACCCTAATTCTCCTAATCTCTTAGGAAATATGGAAGAAGCGGGACCAAAGAATCTTCCAAAACAAGGAGCTATCCCTATAAATCTTATTATGAAAATTAAGGAGAAGCCAAATCTTGGGTATTGGCGGGAGCCAAACAACTAACTAAGATGTTACCATAGACGTCTGCCTTATTTGTAAATATTTCTTTGTTTTCTATTTTACATGTAAATAACACTCCTATATTCAATGAACAGGCACGCTGTGTCTTTCGTTTTTCTTTTTTAAAAAAACACATGCTAAACGACCCATAACGACGGCATTTTTTGCGAGAGTGGGAGGTGGTCCCACCTCGAGCGGGCAAGCAAAGCAGCAACGAGAAAAGGAATCTGGACGCCACCCCACCACACCACCACTACCCCCCACTTGCAATCTCCCCTCTCTCTCCCTTTTTAAAATAAATCCGGATAACGCATCGGTGAACCCTGCGGATTAACAGAGTAAACTGCAACAAACCACGCGACCCCCAAACCTCTCTCTCTCTCCTCGCCTCCGCCGTCGCCGTCGCCGTCCTCGACTGCTCCTCCGGTGTGATCCGATCACGCGCGGCCTCTCCGCCTCCCGCTCGCCCTTCTCCGCTTCGCGTGTTGTACTGTTCTCCCGCGGTCCCGCCCGAGCAGAGGTAAGAGGAGGAGGAGGTGGGTGAGAGACCGCGTTTGATCCCTGGGCCGAGGCGGCGCGGGATCGGGTGGGGGCGTGGTTGGAGGTGTTGTTTTTGTTTTTCGGGTGGAATCAGCTTCGTGCCGCGCGATTGATGGTTGTTTCGTGTGTTGTGGCTGTTATTTTTTTTTTTTAGGTTTGGGTTGGCCAGCGAGGGAGGTTGGCTAGGGCAGCGGGCTGATGAGAGAGGCGTCAGGCATGTCCGGGGGAGAAGACGTCCGCAAGGTTTCTCGCCAGGACATACAGCTCGTGAGCACCACAGGAACCCTGATCCCTAACCTTTTCTCTCCCCCTCAATTTTTTTTGAGCCTACCTTGGTTGTGCATGCGCTGTGCTGTTTGTCCCCCTTCTTCACGACGATTTTCAAGTTATACGTTATCATTCAGATGCAAGGAATAACCGAAACGCGTGTTGTCGTAGCTACCATGTTATCATTCAGATGCAAGGAATAACCGAAACGCATGTTGTCATAGCTACCATGCTATCATTCAGATGCAAGGAATAACAGAAACGCATGTTGTCGTAGCTACCATGCTATCATTCAGATGCAAGGAATAACCGAAACGCATGTTGTCGTAGCTACAATGCTATCATTCAGATGCAAGGAATAACCGAAACGCATGTTGTCGTATCTACCATGTTATTAATCAGATGCAAGGAACAACCGAAATGCATGTTGTCGTTGCTACCATGTTGTCATTCAGATCCAAGGAATAACCGAAACGCATGTTGTCGTAGCTACCATGTTTCCTTTATATGTATATTTATTAGTACCTTTTATGCCTTTCATAATTGAATGGATTGACATGGCTGGCAAATGTCTGTGTTGCTTTAATATGCCCTCATTTGGGCTTTTATGTACTAGGGTTAGTTCGTTATTTCAGTATATGCGCGATCCCGTGTTGGACTTTAGTTAAAGATCATGTGCTGGAGTCACTGCAGGACAAGGTTGTCGGAAGGAGAGAGAAAGGAGAGCAAAAGAGTTTGGGGATGAAGGGAAAAGGGGAAAGAAATTTAAGGAAAAACACGTGGCCCAATTTATTATTTGAAGCTGAAAATCTCATAAAGCAGAATTATGATGTCTAACGGCATAATTGAAAATTTGAAACTCTTTATGTGCGTTTCTTTCCTTTTCTTCAAGTCAAATGCTGAATAGGCAACCGCTCTTGCTTCAATATCCAATGCTTAAAAAAGAACTTCTGAAAAAAAATCATTGTAGTGTTCCCTTACCTTTCCTTTTTTAATATGCAAGATATGCTCTCTTTTTTTTGTCGGATGTCCTTTATCATTTCTTGTACTTTCTCATTTATTTTGACTCTGTTAACACTTTTGTGTGAACATATTGGAAACTCTGTAGTTGTACTTCTCTCTGCATACTTGAAGCAATAAGTCCTCATACAAAAATTGTTTTACAGGTCCAGAATCTTATTGAACGATGTCTTCAGCTTTATATGAACCAGAAAGAAGTGGTTGAGACCCTATCATTCCAGGCGAAAATTGAACCTAGTTTTACTGAGCTTGGTAATACCCTTATACAGATTTTCTTTTTCTTGTTGTGCACTGAATGTAGCATAACTATAACTTGGTTGACTTCCCATTGCATATTGACATAGCAATATAGCATTCATGGTGCACCAAGCCTTTGAATTTTTATGAGCCAATGGTTAATATCGGACAGGAATATGTGTGCTTTCTAATACAATTTGGAGGGCATTAATTTCATTCCGTCGTAATTCATAAACAATTGGTTCTCCGATTGCTGTTTTTAATGGTAAAACACAAACACGTTTGCCTCTATTTCTCACTGTTGTTTTTCTCCAGTCTGGCAGAAACTTGAGGAAGAGAATCGTGAGTTCTTTAAAGCATATTATGTGAGACTTATGCTTAAGAATCAAATAATGGTCTTCAACAAGCTCCTTGAGGATCAGTATCGGCTTATGTGTAAAGAGCAGCCTTCTGGAGTACCTTCTATGCCTCCTACTACTAATGGCTCCAACATGGGCACATGTAAGTATATGTTGTTTTTTTTTTCATCAGCTGTCTATACAATGATGTTACCTTGCTTACTGTTCAACAAATCCCTCTAAACTATTTCATTCTAAATTGATGCTAGAGGTTGTTTACCCTCTTATTCGGGTAATATAGCTGTTCCGTCTGTATATATTAAGACAGTAGTAAACTAGTAGAGTGATGTCCGTTTCTTTGTACTAGTGATACAGTATGAAGAATTTATGGGCTTGCCAGTAGTATATCTTGGGATTACCATCGAGTTTAGATGATTTGCAAGTTGCAACTTTGGTAGTTTGGCTCTCCTCAAGATCTAACATTTCCCGCCTTCCAACGAAAATCATAATATCATATTAAGTTGATTTTAGGCCACTTTATGTTTACTAGTTACTACTGTGCTTTTAGAGTTCTCTACTGGCAGTTTTGTTAGATCAGAACAGTATTTGAGAAAGTTTGTTCCCTAGTCCTGAATCCTGATACATAGCTTATTACTAAGTTTGTAATTTTTGTGATGTCCGGACCAAATTTTATTATGTTCTGACATAGTTCACTGTTGACTCTCAGTGAATCAAAATGCATGCTTTTTGCCAGACACTACTCCCAGCACTGCAATGCCAGATAGCTTGCTACCCAATGGAAGTTCCAGCGGTATTGTAAATGGCACTCCATCCAGTGACCAATTTATCTATGCTGGTAAAGTCATTCATGGTCTTCCTAGCAGTATGGATGCTTCATCTAGTCTACTGGCAGCACATAACTCAACTGCTGGGAGGTTTAATGGAGACAATGGAACAACAATCAAGACAGAAGCAAGCTACTCGGGCAACTCTGATTTTGGTTTCTGCAATGAGAGCGCTTTCCTAGAACCTTGCCAGTCAATTGGGGATGCCTCTGGTGGATCCTTCAGCAGCTCTGAGCTGAATGGACAGCCACTAGGTGATCCAATTATGGACATGGATTCATCATCTTTTGGTTTCTTGAGCCAAATTCCTCGGAATTTCAGTTTTTCAGATTTAACTGAAGACTTTAGCCAAAGTGCAGGTATTATTTTCTGTGATATTACCTTTTTTTTTTTTAGTTTTCCTTTTCTTCAGCATTGCTGTTTGCTGTGTAATGTATACATACACCTTTTATTTTGGGTTGTCTGCAGAAATATTGGAGAATTATGGCAGATCCCCTTTTATCCCTTCTGAACCAAATAATTTCTCAGAGTCTACTCCTGGAGACCATGCAGGTTAATTATCCCCTTCCCTCCAGTTTTCTGTTTCGTTCTTATCCACCACCACAGTACACCCCACCCCCACAACATGTAAGGCAAGCTAGACAAGGAAATATTGACTTGAACATACGGCACTGAGGCATTGATGTAACGCTCAATCTAGCTAATGTTTCTCTTGCTATTGTCAGAAATAGGAAATAGACGGCTAGATACCATATCCGAGGGTGTTAGTTATGAAGATTTTGGAAGCGATTAATCAGATATTGATGGTACTGCTTAAGGTAATCAAACTTTAGGCAAAATCACAACTAGACACATTTCCCCTTTTCTTCCATTTAATTTTCTGGTCTTGCATTGGATTGGATTGTGGGGGTTTGTGGCGGAAAATTAACTCTCTAAGTATTCCCGTGTTGATTGGTATGCATATGGCACTTCCATATTTAAGCGGTAATTTGTGGAATGTCTTCACATGGCTGTATGAGAACATTCTGCAGAAGTCTGCCTTGGTGGGATTCTGTCTTTCAGGCCCTTGAGTTTACCTGTTGTTTATCCTAAGCACAACAAAAAATGGGTCGAAGTTATTGCATCATGAGACAGTTGATTTGTGACAGCTAATAAACAGTGTTTATCGAACACTGTTCTTGCACCTTAGACATTTTGTCCACCGTGAGCTTCCTATTCCTCATGTGATGCTGAAGAAGATTGTAGCTGGATGTTAGTCCAATACTCCATCCTTAGGCACTCAACTAGGCATCAGCATGCATACTCTACTGTTACATGGGCTCGGTAGTTACTAGTTGCATTATTTTTCAACTTAAGAGCTAGTCTGAGCATGAAAAACTAAACAGAGAAGTACATAAATGGAACGGCCAGCTGAATAAAGAAAATTCATCTGATGTATTATCCTTTAGGTTGCCACAATACACTAACTTTAGATGGCACAAGGATTATTTAATTTAAAAACCTGATGATGGTGCCATCAGCCTGTGAATATGGTGGTGGTGTGTGGCAAGGGGATGAAGATGGGGGGTTTGCTTAGAGCATGCCCTCTCTTTTTCTATTCTTGAATAGCAAAATAGGGTGTTATCTATATGCTACTGGTTTAACTCTTCTAACTTGATTCATCGATCTCTATGTATGTGCAGGTTGAGCAGTGATGCATAACTTTGTACATAGTAGTTTGGGCAAGTGAGTCTATATTCGTGGCCATGGAACTCAGCTAATTTCATGGAAACTATTGCTTCGTCAGTTTTAGGTCTTGTTCTGTTGGACTACCAGCTTCGGTGACTTGTGTGAGAATATTTCATGGCCTAATAATGTGTCGCATTGACTGATGCAAGAAACCTATTGTCCCTGTGTCATTGCTGAAGATATTGTAGAAGTTAGCGTTAATGGTGACTGGAAGCTTTACATTGACATTTCGTGCTGTTGCACTTGATGTGTAGTTTGTACATGATGCTTAGTTAACATTTTCCCTCTGTTGCACTTGCTGCGGTTGGCCATGTCGCGCTCTGCACTCTTCGGTTGTTCAGACATGAGAGTTTACAATAATTCAGTATTGGAGAAGTTGGTAAAACTGTCAGATTGTTGACGCTTGGTGAAGTTTGATTCTCAAGATGTGTTTGTTACACTACCGTCTACCATTACATGTTTCCATTCCCTGAACACAGAATAAACAGTGATTGCAAATTTGACATCCAAGCACAAGATGATTAAGATTCTGTTAGCTTCTAGTCCAAAGAGAGTGTGAACTGAGAACGGGAGATCGATAAGATTGAGTAGAAAAAAAATTAGCTTTACGAAATTCAAAGTTACGCGTATACAAAACCTGGACATGGGCAAAGAACATCTCCAATTTACAGTAATTCAGTAAACAACAGATCACAAATCTCACAGAACAGGACGAAACACATGAGAAAAATAGTCTAGTTCTTGGGGATGTTCTTGCCGACGATCTTGGCAGGAGCGATGCGGAGGAGGTTCCCGGGCTTCCCTGGAACGGCGCCCTTGATCATGACAACTTTCAGGTCGTTGTCGATCTTGACGATCTTGAGCTTCCTGATCTTGGTCTTGGTTCCTCCCATCCTCCCGGGCATCTTCTTCCCCTTGTACACCCGACCCGGCGTCGTCCCGGCACCGATCGATCCCAGAGCTCTGTGGCTCTTGGAGCCGTGGGTCATCAGCCCTCGCTTGAAGTTGTGCCTCTTGATGCCACCTGTGTCGATGTCCAAGAACCGTCAGTCGCAAATTGAGAGCATAGTTGCACAATTATGCCATATTGCCATTAGATGATCAGGAACTAAAAGAGATATTGGTGCTCTTGACTTCATGAGAATGCTATAAACGATTATGTTGTTTGGGGAGAAACACCCAGGGGTCTTCCAACTAGCTCCACAAGGTGGTAGGCTAGACGACCTGGGTTCGAAGCCTCACCCATTCTAATTATTTGATATTAGGTCCTTCTCTAATATTTGTGTCTTTTTTATTATGTTGTTTGGGAAGAATATACATGAAATGGATAATGTTTGCGGTATTGGCAAATCGTTGGTCGCAGCAAATCAAGAGCGCAATTGCAACGGGTTTACGATGTTATATTCACTTCATGAAAATTATACAAGTGATGCTGATGGTTGCAATAAATTGTGAACTATAACGAATGTGTTGACATGGTACAGGTCTGCAACTCCAAGAACAGCATTGACATTGCCATATTGGCAATGCCATTGTGCAAGTCTAGGACGCTAATCAAGAGAAGAGGCTAAATGATTCTTCCCAAGAACAATTCTGTACACTAACATTGGTGAGCATATGGTAAATTTGATACAGCAAAATTTCAAGCTTGTTCTCAAGTCTTCCTCACAATGTAAAGCATTGTTCAAATTCAGACAGGGCGAAATGGTAGTCACATTGTGAAAAGGGAGTAAAAAAAAATAATCAAGTTTACTGACCTTGGAACCCCTTGCCGATGGACTTGCCGGAGATGTCGACGAGGTCGCCCTCCTTGAACATGTCGGCGAAGTCGAGCGGCTGGCCGGGGTCGTACCCGTCGACGGACTGGAGGCGGAACTCCTGCAGGTGGCGGAGCGGCGGCGCGCCGGCCTTGCCGAGGTGGCCGAGCTCCGGGCGGGTGAGCTTCTCCTCGCGGACGCCGTGGTACCCCACCTGCACGGCGTCGTACCCGTCGGTGGCCGCCGTCTTCACCTGCGTCACCACGTTGCCGCCCTCCCGGAACCCCACGACGGTCACCGGCACCGGCTTGCCGGTGGCCGGGTCGAAGTAGGTCATCATCCCGACCTTGGTCGCCATCACCCCGACCCCGGCCTCGTACGACGCGCGCACCACCGCCACCAGCGGCCGCCGCCGCGCCGCCGCCGCAGCCGCGCCACCTGCGCCGCTCCAGGAGGCGGCGCGGCGGCGCGGCGCGAGGAGGCCCAGCGCGCCGCCGCCGCCGCCGCCGATGCCCACGGCCGCCATGGCCATTCTTGGTGCCCCGGATTCGAGCGGGGATTTGCTCACTCCAGCAGTGTCCCGGCTTCGCTTGCTGCTTTGGTTGTTTTTCGTGTTGAATTCGATTGGATTGGGGTTTGCGGCTAATGCCCCCTTATCCTCCCGCCTGCAGAGAGGCGCTTTTTAGGAATACGCTTTCTTTGCCGGGGAGGTGGATTCCGTAACAGTTGCAAAATACCACGGGTGCATAATAAATTACAGGTTAGGCTAGACAGGCGGAGCTACCTCCTGGGCAGGTCGGGCGACCGTACAGACTCCGCCGCTGATGTTGCTACTATTCTCCATTGATAGCACATGTAAAAATTTAGGGAGTAACTATATATATATTTATAGCGCCGTATTTTTCACCAAAAAAATAGTCGGCATGTATTTACATTGCAAGTCCCTAAATTACATATATAATTTTAGTGTATTTACAATGTAAATTCCAAAATTACATATGTAAGTACTAAAATTACATATGCAATTCTCAAAATTACATGTGTAAGTTGATGTAATTCCCAAAACTATAAATTTGTGATGACACGGATATTTAGTTTTTAAGACTAATTAGTAATCCTAATTAGCAAATAACATTAAAACAACAGAAGAGATCAGAAGAGAACAGAATCGGAGGGATATGCGTACACTGCGATGATTTCTGCATCCGCATCTGACGGTTGAAACAACCGACTGAAATCCATCGTAATTTGTAGCGACATATTTTTAGCAATACCGAAAATTTATGGATCACTAGTAAACGTTCCTTGTCTCCCAGGTTTAAGTATGCTGCTAGCTTTGCCATTGAGACCATATAACTTTACCGAGTTTTATTTTAGATAACGTGCTATCCAGTGTCCTTACTTAAAGTCAAGTGTTTTTACCTAGATCAATTGTACCTTAGCACGGTGCCCCTGTGCACCAGGTGGGAAGATATCAATGGGAACTGAGTTTGGTACAGATGGTTTGTTTTAGTATATAAGTGGGTTTTTGTAGGTTAGCCACTTGCACTCTCGATGACCTTCATTGCACTAACACAGTTCAGAATAGCTCACTACAAAATAGTGATTGAACACTTCAAATTCTATCGAACCAATAACGTTGTTCAAGAATTGAAAGCAACGAGAGAAATCCATTGCCTTCTACGCGAGTGAGATTCAAAAACACAAATCTTGCGCTCCATCACTAGTATTTTCACAATTCACATTTTGCTATATCTTTATTGTTTTCTATGCCCTTCGCTCTACCTGATCACTTATATATAACAAAATATTGCTTTACTTAGCATATGTTCTTCTGGAGGGATTGAAAACCCCCTTCGCATGCAAAACGAAGCAACATACTAACACTGTCGGAGCTTGGGGCTCCTCACCGGGAGACCGCGCAGGCCCCCCTTTGCCGGTTCGGCCGGGGGCGCTAAGTGAGGTTCTTCACCCTCGATCTGTGGAATATTCGCGAGAGAGCAAATGCACGAGACACGGGCGATGTAGACAGGTTCGGGCCGCTGAAAAGCGTAATACCCTACTCCTGTGTTCTGGTGGATCTGTGTGTGAAGGAGTTACAGAGAGCTGGAGAGCAAGAGAGTTCAGGCTCTAGAACCCCCTTCCTCTTTCTCTCCTCTACAAGCTCAAGTATTTTCAGAGTCGTCTCCCCTCCTCTCTCTTGCTTCGGTGGGCAAGGTCCTCCTTTTATATCTCAAGGGGATCCCACATGCACCACTTCTACCTACTCTTCTTTTGGGTGGGGACCCACCCTATCCTGACCAAAACTTGGCTCGCGTCTTCGCCTGGAAGCTAAATCACAGCTTGTCCTTGAGTGAGGCCCAGCGCCGTCACTCGCCTGACACAGGGGATACCCCTGTCATTTCTTCATTAATGGGTGGAGATTTGCAATGGATGCTGTCCGAATGACCCTCCGATGGGATGGGTCATACCTACCTCCACTCCGCCGGAAGCAGATGCAACGTGGGAGCACGGTTGTCTGCCGATGACGTGACCGGCGTCAGACTAGTCACAGACCGGTCACTCTTGTCCACCACGCGTCAGTTTAGCATGCCGCACGTCTGCCCTTCTTCATACAATGACTTCCTCGCCATGGTTGCGATGAAGCCTGGAATGAATCTGGCCGGGACTGACATACCAACTCTAGGAGTTAGCACGCCGGCTCCGGCTAGGGACGAGTGCCTGGAGGCTCTCATTATTCCGACGGGACGGGGCGAGGCGTGTGACAGGCCGCCTGTTGCCACCTAACCCGCAATCTAACCGGTCTGTGACCGGTCACACACTGCGACCGGTCACGGACCGGATAAGCGTGCGATGCGCTGCATTGAATGCGGCGTGGTGCGCTCGTCTAACCCGCTATAAATGCGGTTAGGTGAGCGCCGCTGTGCTCACCTAACCCATACACGTGGCGCCAACACCACAGGAGGTCGGGGCGCCCCAGCCCTCGGGGCCGAAACGGGAGCGGCCCGACCCCTCGAGGAGACAGAGGGAGGGGTGGCCACGTCATCCTCGGGCCCGACCCCCCCGAGGGGGTCAGGCCACGTGGATGACCGCGGCTGCCCAAGCCTCTAGTCACGATACCCCCGGTCCCATGTCACCGACAAACACCTAATTAAATATTAGCTTAAACTTAAAAAATAAATTAATATAAATTTTACAGGAACATTTTTTATAGAAAAATATTTGCAAACACACACTATTTATTAGTTCGGAAACCGTACGCAAAAGAAAGGAGCGAGTGAAGGTTAGGACCACAGACTTATTCTACGCTTTTAAAAGGCATCTTCTATCTTTTTATTTTTGCTTGCTTCTGAAGAGGGGGAATTTCTAGAACTGTTCGGCTGCACTCATTCAACGAAGCTGCAACACAGTGGTTGCACCTTGCAGCCGAACAGGCCCTCTAATTATATATAATAAGCTTGTAAACTTCTCAAATACAGCCATACACAACTACTCAAGCCGAGAGAGAATCCAAAAATTGCTCAAATTTGAAAATTTTGGTCGTCAGCCATCAGGCTCGAGCCAGACTGCGACCCTAAGCCGACCTATTAGAGCATCTCTAATAGTCTCTCCATCCTACTCTCTAAGATAAATTTTAGCCATTCTAGCCAAAAAAACGTGCTCCAACAGCCTCTCCAACCGGATGGCTAAGCCATATGGCTGGCTAAAACCCTTCCTCCACTAGCCAAATTTGGCCACTCTATTTGGCTGGCCAATGGTGGGCCCTACGTGGCTAATCAACTCCATCCCCACGCGGCAACAGAGAGACACGGGAGGAGCACGACGACGAGCACGCTACCGACGGCCTCCGCTCGCCACCGCACCAAACCCGCACGGCACTGCCCGCCGCCTCCGCTCGCCGCGTCTGCCGGCCTCCGCGCGATGAGGCTCGGCGCCGCCGCCGCTCGCTGTTCTCCGCCAGTCCGCAGTAGTCCAGTAGGAGGAAGGGAGGAAGAAGTAGTAGTAGAAAATGGGTTGGAAGAGGAGGAAGAAGAGTAGGAGAGACTGACATATGGGTCCCATTTGTAATGGACTTGTAATAGAGAGGGTAGATGAAGAGGCTGTTGAAGTAAACAAATAGTATTACTAGCCAAATCAGATTGAGAGTTGGCTATAGAAATGTTTAGAGAGGCTGTTAGAGATGCTCTTATGCCGCAACCGCACCAAGCCGCAAACGCTCCGGTTGAGTTGGACTCGTCCGAGCCGGATCTGATAACCCACCCGCGACTCCTACCCCATTCGAGCACCACCCGCCCCGCCACCGCCTCCAATCTAAAACCCTAGATCTCTCTCTCTCCCCACTTCTCTCTCTTCTCCCCCCGAGTCTTCCTCACCCGCCGCCGCCGCCGCCGCCGGAGGAGGAGGAGGAGGAGGATTCCGGTGCGGCCATGTACCTCTACAGCCTGACGCTGCAGCGGGCGACGGGCGCGGTGTGCGCCGTCATCGGCAGCTTCAGCGGGCGCGACTCGAAGAAGTCGGCGGCGTCCGGGTCGTCGTCGTCGTCGTCGTCCACGCAGGAGATCGCCGTGGCCCGTGGCACCACTCTCGAGCTCCTCCGCCCCGACCCGGAGACCGGCCGCCTCCGCACGCTCCTCTCCGTCGACGTCTTCGGCGCCATCCGCTCGCTCGCCCAGTTCCGCCTCACCGGCGCCACCAAGGACTACCTCGTCGTCGGCTCCGACTCCGGCCGCCTCGTCATCCTCGAGTACTCCCCCGACCGCAACCGCCTCGACAAGGTCCACCAGGAGACCTTCGGCAAGTCCGGCTGCCGCCGCATCGTCCCCGGCCAGCTCCTCGCCGTCGACCCCAAGGGCCGCGCCCTCTGCATCGCCGCCCTCGAGAAGCAGAAGCTCGTCTACGTCCTCAACCGTGACGCCGCCGCGCGCCTCACCATCTCGTCTCCTCTCGAGGCGCACAAGTCCAACACGCTCACCTTCTCCCTCACTGCCCTCGACTGCGGGTTCGACAACCCTGTCTTCGCCGCCATTGAGCTTGAGTACGCCGAGTCCGACCGCGACCCCACCGGGCAGGCTGCCGAGCAGGCGCAGAAGCACCTCACATTCTATGAGCTAGACCTGGGGCTCAATCATGTCTCGCGCAAGGCCTCCGAGCCGATAGATAACGGTGCTAATCTACTGGTGACTGTGCCTGGTGGTGGTGATGGGCCAAGCGGGCTCCTCGTGTGCTGCGACAACTTTGTGCTTTACCGGAACCAGGGGCACCCGGAAGTGCGGGCTGTCATTCCACGCCGCGCTGATCTCCCGGCTGAGCGGGGTGTCCTCATAGTCGCAGCCGCCACGCACAGGCAGAAGAGCTTGTTCTTCTTCTTACTACAGACTGAGTACGGCGATATCTTCAAGGTTGACCTCGAACACAGTAATGACACTGTTACTGAGCTCAGGATCAAGTACTTTGACACCATACCTGTGACATCTGCTATCTGTGTGCTGCGCTCAGGTTTTCTCTTTGCTGCTTCTGAGTTTGGCAACCATGCACTTTATCAGTTCCGTGATATTGGGCGGGATGTGGATGTTGAGTCGTCTTCAGCTACACTGATGGAGACAGATGAGGGGTTCCAGCCCGTATTCTTTCAGCCAAGAGCACTCAAGAACCTGTACCGGATCGATGAAATTGAAAGTCTCATGCCAATCATGGACATGCGTGTTGCAAATCTATTTGATGAGGAAACACCACAGGTATTCACAGCCTGCGGCCGTGGTCCTCGGTCCACCTTGCGCATCCTGAGGCCTGGGCTTGCCATTAGTGAGATGGCTCGATCGATGTTGCCGGCTGAGCCTATTGCTGTCTGGACTGTAAAGAAGAATATCAATGACATGTTTGATGCCTACATTGTCGTGTCCTTTGCCAATGTTACACTTGTGCTCTCCATCGGTGAGACTATTGAGGAAGTCAGCGACAGCCAGTTTCTGGATACCACTCACTCCCTGGCAGTTTCTCTCCTTGGCGAGGACTCTCTCATGCAGGTCCACCCGAACGGCATCAGGCACATCAGGGAAGATGGCCGTGTGAATGAGTGGAGGACACCTGGGAAGAAAACTATCACTAAGGTTGGATCAAACCGGCTCCAGGTGGTAATCGCCCTCAGTGGTGGAGAGCTTATCTACTTTGAGATGGACATGACAGGTCAGCTTATGGAAGTCGAGAAGCAGGACATGTCTGGTGATGTTGCATGCCTGGCCATTGCGCCAGTTCCAGAGGGGAGACAGAGGTCCCGATTCCTTGCAGTTGGTTCCTTTGATAACACCATCCGAATACTCTCCGTGGACCCTGATGACTGCTTGCAGCCTCTGAGTGTCCAAAGTGTCTCTTCAGCCCCAGAGTCCCTCATGTTTCTAGAAGTTCAGGCATCAGTTGGCGGTGAGGACGGTGCGGACCATCCAGCCAACCTTTTCCTCAATGCTGGCCTGCAAAATGGTGTCCTGTTCCGCACCAATGTTGACATGGTCACTGGTCAGTTATCTGACACACGATCTCGGTTCCTTGGCCTGAGACCTCCAAAACTGTTTCCGTGCATAGTTAGCCACCGGCAAGCAATGCTTTGCCTGTCCAGCCGTCCCTGGCTTGGCTACATACATCAAGGTCACTTCCTATTGACTCCACTGTCCTGTGATACACTTGAATCTGCTGCATCCTTCTCTTCTGATCAGTGCTCAGAAGGTGTTGTTGCCGTTGCTGGTGATGCCCTACGAATTTTCACCATTGAACACCTGGGGGAGACTTTCAATGAAACAGCCATCCCTCTGCGCTACACCCCAAGAAAATTTGTGATTCTTCCAAAAAAGAAATACCTTGCTGTCATTGAGAGTGATAAAGGTGCGCTCAGCGCAGAAGAGCGAGAAGCGGCTAAGAAGGAGTGCCTTGAGGCTGCTGGTGTTACAGAAAATGGTAATGCAAATAATGGGGATCAGATGGAGAATGGTGATGGTCAAGAAGATGGTGCTGAGGACAGAAACACACTTCCAGATGAACAGTATGGTTATCCAAAGGCGGAATCAGAAAGGTGGGTTTCTTGCATCAGGATTCTTGATCCAAAGAGCAGAGACACGACTTGTCTGCTTGAATTGCAAGACAATGAAGCAGCTGTTAGCATTTGCACTGTGAACTTTCATGATAAGGAGCATGGTACTCTCTTGGCTGTTGGTACTGCCAAGGGATTGCAATTCTGGCCAAAGAGGAACCTTTCAGCTGGGTTCATCCACATATACAAGTTTGTAGATGAAGGGAGGTCACTTGAACTGCTTCACAAGACACAGGTGGAGGAAGTACCTCTTGCCTTGTGCCAGTTCCAAGGACGGTTGCTTGCTGGTGTTGGTTCAGTCCTCAGGTTATATGATCTTGGGAAGAGGAAGTTGCTCAGGAAGTGTGAAAACAAACTTTTCCCAAGGACGATAGTGTCTATCCATACTTACCGAGATAGGATCTATGTTGGTGATATGCAAGAGGTATGCTCGCTACCTTTGATTGGTTCTGTTGCTCCCCTGTTTGTCATTTTGTCACCTGTAGATGTATATCAGTTTTTTTGGTAGTCTGTATGCCAAGGTGTCTTCTAGAAGATAAACTAGCAACTTGTCTTGTGTGCAACATGATATTGATCTAACCATAGGCTACAGACATGTTTTTGGTGTCTACACTGGGTGAGAAGGAAATTTTAAATTTTATTAGTTACTCACATTTACTGGTTCAGATTGAAATATGTGGTTTGAGAGCAAGTAATAGGAGACAAATTACCCAGCATATTTTCTAGATCATGTTTTCATCATCCATCTCCTTTTTTCTTTGTTTCATCTTAAAGTTTTTTGTGGATATATGAAATTTAGATATTTTTGCCTGTCCTATGAATAGTACTCCAAAATAACAATAATAATGGGTTTTACAGTTAGATTGTCCCTTCCAAAATAACAACAATAATGGGTTTTACCTACTTCTGGTTGAAACATCTCTAATTTATGAATTCTCTGACAGTTATGTTGCAGTTTCATATTTTTAAATATAGTATAGTATACATATAATATTCACCATATTTCATATACCTTTTTTGTTTGACAAATTTCTAACATTTCTTTGTGGTGCCATCTCCTGCAGTCATTTCATTATTGCAAGTACAGAAGGGATGAAAACCAACTGTACATCTTCGCTGATGATAGTGTTCCCAGGTGGCTCACAGCAGCAAATCACATAGATTTTGATACTATGGCAGGGGCAGATAAGTTTGGGAACATATATTTTGCTCGCCTTCCTCAGGATCTCTCAGATGAGATTGAAGAAGACCCAACTGGGGGGAAGATTAAATGGGAGCAAGGGAAGTTGAATGGGGCCCCAAACAAAGTAGAGGAGATTGTTCAGTTTCATGTTGGTGATGTTGTCACATGTTTGCAGAAAGCCTCTTTAATACCGGGAGGCGGCGAATGTCTTATTTATGGGACTGTGATGGGCAGTGTTGGGGCACTGCTTGCATTCACCTCCAGGGAAGATGTTGACTTCTTTTCTCACTTGGAGATGCATCTCCGCCAGGAGCATCCACCATTATGTGGAAGAGATCACATGGCCTACAGATCTGCTTATTTTCCAGTGAAGGTGATATATTATTTTTTTTGTTTAGATTAGCTAGTATGTCAACCAACACAGATATTATCACAAATGCATATATTTATAACTTTTTTACCACTTTGTCGGATAGAATATCCAGGTGTAAAGGCAGTTGGCAGTATCTGTTTTATGTTTGATGATGGAGTTTCGTTTTGGTTTGTTTCAGGATGTGATTGATGGTGACCTCTGTGAGCAGTTTCCATCCCTCCCAGCTGATATGCAAAGGAAGATTGCCGATGAACTCGACAGAACTCCTGGTGAAATCCTGAAGAAGCTGGAGGACATTAGGAACAAAATTATCTGAAAGATCATTGCGCATAGCGAAAGAACTAGACAAACTGTTGGGCTCTCAATGGCTGTAAAAACAGAATCTCCTTTCCTGTCCGAGACCTAGCAGCTTCAGATCCGTGGCACATTCAAGAAATAAGAAAACACTAGGGCCAATCGAGTGGAGAGGTGGTAAAGTCCTTAATGGTCTGATTTGTAGAATTCTTGGTGCTAATGACCTGGTGTCTGGAATTCGTTGTTAATGGTCTGATTTGTATATTTCTTAGTTAACAATGGCTAAGTTGACCTTTCAGATCGAAGCGAGAATAGGTCACATAACTGCATCAGCATCAGAGTGTTCTTCTGTAACTCTTAGAGCATGCTTTAGCCTTTGTGTTAGTATTTGCTGTGATGTAGTTGGACAAGTTCTTTGTTTTGATGGTTGACTCATCTGTAGGCTGCTGCTACTTTCATGATGTACGATAGAACCTTTTCATTTTTTCAGGTGATACTGAAGCAGATGTATTGGTGCTATCCAATTTGATTTTCCTGTGATAATATTACACTTTTGATGATGAAATATTCTACTGCTAGTAGTTCAATGGCATATAAACAATTTCATCCATAGATTTTATTGGCTGGTAAACCATATATAAGTGCGTCTATGTACGAAAAGCTTAACCCCCCCTATTTTCACCAATGGGAACGGGTGAAAAGTTTGACCTATTTTCACTACAAGAGAGGTAAAACAGGGGAGACGCATCTATTTGGTGAAATATAAAATCTCAGCGACAGTAACTTTCTACTCCCTCCGTCGGAGATCGACATGGTCTCCAATGTGGCAATGGCAACAAATAGTAGTATCTGTAGGGATAAATTATTTCAAATGAAAAGAATTGTATACCATGATAATTTGTAAAAAGATAAATCTATAACACTATTCTTACATCATCAATCTATTGATGTTCAAAGTTAAAAAGTATAACTCGACACTATTTCAAAACTAGTTATATTTGTGAAAAGAGCGAGTACATCCAGATGGGTAAAATCTCATCGTAGTAACTTCTTTTAGTACAACACGATGTACATGGCACACACTTCACTCTCGTATTTCCTAGAATATCACGTTTGCACATCCTTCCTAAAAGGGAGTGGATTATAAATTTGTTCTTTTTTTGAAAAAAAAACACGTTTGTATGTCCTTTTTATATGTGTAAATAAAGGGACCCATAATTATAGGTGGTTAGAAAAGGGAACAAAATATTATACTTCCTCCGTTTTATATTATAAGACTTTCTAGCATTGCCCATATTCATATATATGTTAATAAATCTAGACATATATTTGTGCCTAGATTCATTAACACCTATATAAATATGGGCAATGGTAAAAAATCTTATAACTTGAAGCGGAGGGAGAAGGCCTTTAGTGCGTGAGAAACATATGTTCGTACTAAAGAAAGATACTCCGTATGAATGCGTTTTTGATACGTGTGAAAGTGCATGGATCCATGATTCTACTCAAGATACGTGTGATACATTCTATAATCGTAACGTCACCAATGCGTGGAGCTGGATGTGAATAATCTCTCAAGCTGGATAAACATTCTATAACTAATTACGTTTAAATATCATTAACATACCACAGGCAAGCGGAATCTTTAACCATAATATCACTAATTAGTGGTAAACACATGAAACCAAAGACATCCTACAACATATCTAACCAATACGTGCGACAAATGAAATATTCACCAAAAATATTCTCCCCCCTTTCCATCCTGAATTCCTGATTTCACGTAAGTTTGCCACTGCTTTATAAGGCCATTTACACTACACTAATGTGGCATTCAGCCCAAGCCGACCAGTTCAAAGATTCTATGTCACATATACTTCTCTTGTAACCAAAATAGGTTACCCATTCCTCGTCAGAGATTGTCAGGGAGGGGAGAGGAAATCCTCGCTCGGCTACCTTCTCGAGCTAGTTCGTTGCCTCCAACACGGAGTTGGGAGAGACGACGACCATAGTTGGGAGGGACATACCGGGAGGTCATCGTCACCGCCCAATATGCATCGTCGAGCTCCGCCGCCACCGCTCAGACCCCCACCAACCATCGCCCTCGCTGCCGGCAGATCCATTGAGAAGAGGGAGGGGAGCGGCTCCTGCCAAATCTACTCCGCCGGTGGGAGAAGAAGAGCAAGGGGGGTTCGCCGCCATCCCCTCCCCGCAAAATTCGGTGCCACCCCGCTAATGTCCTGATCAGTTACTACTATTAAACTTTAAAGTCTGCCCATTATTTCCCAAAATGGAATTGCTGCCGAACCCCCTGGCCGGCAGGCATGACGTTTTAAAGTACTACACTCTCTCCGTAGTAGCAGCATATAGCATCTCTTCTTCACTTCACAGACATGCGACCCTGCGGGTGTTACGCTCCTCGCTCGCACACCACGACCACCGTTCACACCACACGTGCGAAAAAAAAAGGAACCCGACCCCGAGTCCCTCTCCCCAAATCCTAGCCGTTGGATCCCCATCGCACGCGCGAAACTCCCCCCGCGGCTGATTTTTCACCGTCTTCCACAGCGGCGGGGCCCGCGGCCGCCACGCCCCCCGGGCCCACACGTCAGCGACACGCGGCCTCGCGTTCCACACACACCCCCGGATCCGCGCCGATCCGCGATTGGTCGACGACGTCTTCCCCTCCCCTCCTCTCCTTCCTTCCTCCCTCTCTCTCTCTCTCTCTCTCTCTCTTCACCGCGTCGCTAATCCCCACCTCGTTTCCACCCCCAAATCACACCGCCGCCGCTGCAGCCGCCGTCGCCGCAGCAGCTGCTGTCTCTCCCCCGTGCTAGTGGGGGGGCGCCTCACCCCGCGGGTGTACGGACGTGCCCGGAGTGGGGGGGAACGGGAGGGGGGGTGGGGAGGCTTGGTGGTATCGGGTGGGGCCCGCTCGGTTTCTAGGGTTTCGGCCGCGCTGACACCTCGGGGCCTCCAATTCGGCGGCGGGGCTCCGCGGTGGGGTGGCTTGCTGCTCCCGATTGCCGCCCGCCGGTTCTGATCGCTGTGGGTGTTGCTCTTGCTGCTGCTGGTGGTGCTGGTGCTGGTGCTGGTGTTGTGCTGTTTATGCTGAATTGGGTTGGGTTCGCGGTCGGATTCGTGGAGGGGTAGTTTGCCTCTACTGTTGCTGCGCTCTGGGGTTGGGGTTGGAGAGAGAGGCTGCTTCTTTTGGAGGTGCTGTAAGGCGAGTGGCGGTGCGCTCGCTTGCTGTCGCTGCGTCATCCAGCCGTGCTGCACGGCGATGATTTTTATGCTCTGAGGCTCGGCTGGCGGCAAATATGAATGTGGGACAAGCGGCGCACCTGTCCGGGCAGATGTCGGGGCAGGCGCCGCAGACTAATCAGGTTGGTGGCAGTGGCGTCGGTGGCGCTGACGGACTGCCACAGCAGATGCAGGACGTGGTGGGACTTGGGGGCCTTGATACCCAGTTTTTGTTAATGCGCAACACTATGCGCGATAGGATGTAAGCATTCTATTACTGCGGCTTCTTTGTCGGGGGACTATTTATTAGTCAGGGTGTTAATTGTACGGAGTTAATGTCGCCACTCTTACTGGCTGATCCACTGCATATCTACAAAATTAATGCAAGGATGACGACTTGCTAAAATTGCGCTGGACCTATATTACCTGTACTGCCTTTTACGCTGCTGTAGTTATTTGCTTCTCAAACTGTAAAGTGGAGGATAATTATAGGACTACTGTTATCGCTTTTGCGTCGCGGATACATGGGGGCTCTGGGTTTAGTTTGATCCCCATCCATATTACCACAATTTAGGCCTTCTGCTGATGGTTTGAGTGCAATAGGAGGTGAAGATAGATTTTTTGATCTGATACTTGTTTGTAAACTGGCAGATTCGAATATATAGGAAGGAAGCAATCATCGACTGATTGGCGGCGACGGCTGCCAGAACTTGCTAAACGGCTCGAGGAGATCTTGTATAGAAAATTCTTAAACAAGGTATTGCTCTCTGTCCCCATAATACTTTTGTGCCTTTGGTTTAAATTCTGTTTCGGGGCAAAAGTAGATCTAACTGTTATGTTATTCTATCTGTTTGATTCTTTTTGTTGTTGTTGGAGCAGGCCGATTACCTCAATATGATGAGGGGACCAGTTGAGCCACAATTGCAGTTTGCTATTAAGACTTTGAGTGCTCAGAACCAACAAAATCAACAAAACCAACAAATGCCAAGGCAAATGGCATCTTCCTCTGGCTATGGCACGATGATTCCAACACCGGGCATCACACAAAGTGCAACTGGAAATTCTAGAATGCCCTATGTAACTGACAACACTGGCCTTCCGTCATCTGGTGCAACCATGGTTCCTCAGGGTGCCAACACTGGTACCTCACTTCCAGGTTCTTATTGTTCCACTCAGCTTGTGCTCATGCTTTTAGGACTGATTGCCTTACTTTGTAGTCTTCTATATCCGTGCTGTAGGAATTCTAGCATAGAATGCTAACAGCAACCAGCGACTGCCAAATATGTTTGAAATTTACTACCCCCCTTCCACTAGACTGTAGTTATATCCATATGACAGTTGGAGCATGCTCTCCAAGCTTTCTGTTGTTTTGAACTGAATATATTACAGGAGTGAGAAACTAATGCTGACCTGGTGTCAAACAGGCGCTCTGTATACTTTGACTTTTTTATTGATTGTCCATTTCCACATGTGCTTACTTTTATTTGTCCATACAGGTTCAATGTCTAACGGTTACCAGCATCTAACTACCAGTGTTCCATTAAATTCAACCACAAGCAGCATCCCATCTACGATGGGTCCTGTGGGTATTCAGCGGCAAGTGACTCATATGATCCCCACTCCAGGATTTAATAATCAACAGAATGTGCCTGTGAATCCTGATTTTTCAAATGGAGCTGGATATTTCAATGGTGAGCCAACTGTGACATCACAAATGCAACAGCAGAAGCAATTTCCTAGCAACCAAAACAGTCATCAAATCCAGCATATTGGGGGGCACAGTAATTCTGGAATGCATTCAAACATGCTGGAGAATTCTTCTGCATATGGTTTATCAGATGGACATGTGAATGGTGGAATGGGTGTACATGGGTCAAACATGCAGCTAACAAACAGAAGTGCTGCATCAGAAGCATACATTAACATATCCACATATGGAAATTCACCTAAGCCTGTGCAACAACAATTCAACCAGCACCCTCCACAGAGGATACCGAGTATGTCTTCTTTTGATTCACACTGTCTTCTATTCACTTTGTTGGAACTTGGAATGTTCTTCATTAGTTTGGGAAGTGGGAACAACACATAATTCATAACTCTTGTTTTGGTTCTTTGTTATTAGAGTCAATGGCCTTCATGTTGTTGTGGTTAGAGTCCTTGTGCCCGAGAATGAAATGATACTGTTGCAACATTAAAACAATTGCCACTAGTTTGGATGTCTGTATTTAGTATCTATTCTTTATTAGTGTCATATTCATTCTGCAGGCATGCCAAGAAAGATTTTGTAAGTTTCTGCAGCCTTTATACACTATATTTTTAACTTTTTGACCACTTAATGCAGATAGAAGCTCCTAAACAATAAGGCAGTTTTCTATGCAACAAATTTGAATATACTGATGATTTAAGATCGTCATTAGTTCAGATTTTTACCATATTTTTTAATCACTAATAGCGACAATGAGGTGCTTCACAATTCACTACAGAAGGCTTTAATATTTATTAGGCACATATGCGTAGCTTACTTTTCCTCGTTCATTACACCCATTTGATCTGCACCTGGGGAGGTACTGCTTTATTTGTTAGTTTAGCATGCATGGTAGAAGTTGATTGATATTCATGTGTTTCTTTTTTTTACAAAACAGAACTCATACGTGTTCATCACATTGTGACAAAGGATGATTGTGTTGTTTTTTGTGTGCAGCACCAGTTGATATATCTGGTTCTGGGAATTTTTACAATACTGGTTCTTCTGCTTTAACAGCAGCGAATAATCATAGCATGGGTGCTACAAATTTGCCATCTAGATCAAGAATGAATTCCATGTTGCACACAAATCAGTTAAACATGCAATCCATTCAACCGCAACCTCAGATAAAAACTGAGGTTTTGGATCAGCCAGAAAAGATGAATTTTCAATCTTCTCAGTTGACTCACGAACAACTTATCCGCCAGCAACATTCAATGCAGCAACATCAAATGCAGCCTAGTTCCCAGTTTGTGCAAAACCAGTACCATCTGAATCAACAGCAGCCTAACTCACAGCATCAGCAGTCTATACTGAGAAGCAATTCCCTTAAACAGCCCCAACTGAGTTCCAGCCATTCTATGCAATTGTCAGAACAAGGAGCTCTGCCACACACTGAGCTGATATCTTCACAAGCTACTGAACACGCTGACATTCCAATTTACCAGGGTCAATACCAGCAAAGAAGTGCTCATGATAATGTCAAAGGAGGGCAAGTGTTTGGACATCTTTCCAGCTCTCAAAATTTTCATTCTAATGCGTCCCATGATTCTCAGCAATTGTTGCCAACTAATCAGCAGCTTGATGACAGTTCAAATGATGTAAGTTATGTCTTGAAAGGATCTCAGCCAGAGCAGATGCATCAGGCTCAATGGCGGCCTCAGACAATGGAAAAAGCTCCTGTCACTAATGATTCGTCTCTTGAGAAGCAAATACAGGCAGATTTGTGTCAGAGAACAATGTCTCAGGATGGAGCACAACAGCCATTTTCATCTGATTGGCGCCTTCCTGGTTGTACTGTGACTCCAGCTGATCCTGCATTGCCAAAGCTCCCTAGTGGAGGACTTGAACAGGCTGCTGGAAATATCTATTATTTTCGTCAGATGAAGTGGTTACTTTTGCTATTTCATGCAAAATCATGCTTAACTCCTGTCGGAAGTTGTAAATTCCATCGCTGTTTTCAGGTACAGGAGCTAGTAAAGCATTTTGAGAACTGTAAAAGGAAAGATTGTTCATACAGGGATTGCAGGAGGTCAAGAATGGTTACTGAACATTATAAGGCTTGTGTCGATTTGCAGTGTCCTGTATGCAGTAATGCAAAGAAACTTCTGCAGCGTTCAGCTGAACTAGCAAGCAAGCAAAAGCCCCCTGAGCCTAGAAAAATTGCTCAACAGAATACGGCTCAAAGAATCATGAATGGGGTAGAGGGTGACATAATGGACATCGACCTAGTGTCAGATGAAATCTTTGATAGTCAGCCTTCTGTTCCAAAACGCTTAAAGATGCAGCCTGTATCACCCAGTACTGCAGAGCGTGAAGTTTCTATGCCCTCCAATGCAGGGCTTATATTGCAGGAAACACATTCTGAACTGCCTGACCAGAATAACAAGGTGGGACAACTGAAAATGGATGTGAAGATTGACCCACGACCACTGCAGAAGCCTGCAAAGATTGGTTATGGTACTGATGGAAATGTGCCCACAGCGAGACATAATGTGGCACCTGGAGGCTCAAATGAGATCAAGACTCATGTCAAGCAAGAAATCATGCCAATTGACAAAGAGACAAGTGAGACTGCCCCTGAAGTTAAGAATGAAGCAAATGATTCAACAGACATCACAGTTTCTAAATCAGGGAAACCAAAGATAAAAGGTGTCTCAATGACTGAATTGTTCACCCCAGAACAAATTCAGGAACATATCAATAGTCTAAGGCTGTGGGTTGGTCAGGTATGTGTTCATTTTTTTTAATAAAAAAATTTATTCATAACCATTTCAGTAGCTATCTAGGTTTTCTTGGGAGTGAAAAAAGTGCAGATTAATTTAAAGTAAATAGATAGGAGTAGTAGAGGACAAACACTTTTTGATATGACATGACGCAAATTGTGCTATCATACCCCATTTGGGCATGCAAACAAGGGGCAAAAAAACTAGTTCATTTGTTTTTCCAGTGAATGAAAATTCTTCACCTTTGTTACTACTTCAAATATAATATGCAAAGACAAGGGAAAAAATATTTCATTTGTTTCTCCAGCTAATGAGAATTGTTTCCCTTTCTCACTACTGCATCGAATATATTACTACTAGTTACTGTATTAGCTTATATAGTATTTAGCAGGCTAAAGCTTTGCCGAGCTCTAAAGCACTGATTGAATTGAACTGTATAGAACAAAATGAAATTTTTTCATTGTCTTCATTAGAGACATGCTGGCATTTTGTAAGGTACTGTTTTTATGCTCTTGTTATATAATTGTCATGATGAATTACTGCCTTGTCATCTGACAGAGTAAAGCTAAAGCTGAAAAGAATCAGTTGATGGGGCATAATGAAAATGAGAATTCATGCCAGCTCTGCAAAGTGGAAAAACTTACTTTTGAACCCCCACCAATATATTGCTCCCCTTGTGGTGCTCGGATAAAGCGAAATGCACCATACTATACCGTTGGTACTGGTGATACTCGCCATTTTTTCTGTATTCCATGCTACAATGAGTCCCGTGGTGACACTATTGAGGTTGAAGGGCAAAACTTTTTGAAGGCCAGATTCGAGAAAAAAAGGAATGACGAGGAAACTGAAGAATGGGTAAGTTCCTTTTTCATTTTTGGTGATTTTGTGTCTGTATCATCAAAATTTGGGTATCTTCCTTTTGTATATTAAATCTTTTTAAATGATGTATTCTGCAGTGGGTTCAGTGTGACAAGTGTGAATGCTGGCAGCACCAGATATGTGCTCTATTTAATGGTAGAAGGAATGATGGAGGGCAAGCAGAGTACACCTGCCCAAATTGTTATGTTGAAGAGGTGAAACGTGGGTTGCGTATGCCTCTACCACAGAGTGCAGTTCTTGGGGCAAAAGATCTGCCTAGAACTGTACTAAGCGATCATATTGAAGATCGGCTTTTTAAACGGTTGAAGCAGGAGAGACAGGATAGGGCAGCTCAGGAGAGGAAAAGCATTGAGGAGGTTAGTTAAATTAAGTCATATTTGTGAAGTGAATTTTGTTCTCTATTTGTTGCTCTAAATGTCTTTAGATTCGATCACAGTGCACTTCGCTATTACGCAACTATGCATTACATTTTTTTTTAAAAAAAAAATTGTGCTGCACGGAAGCATTTTTTTATAAGTGCCTTCACAGCGCATGAATAATTTGATTGTTCCAGCCAATGTTTTATATCCTAATTTGAAATATATACTGTTTCCAACTAAATTGTGAATCGTTTCTCTCAATTTCAACTGATTTTTTCTGTAGATATTGATTTCGAACAACATACATCATCAGGCACTTACCAAATAATGCAAAAACAGCCCAAAACAGCAAATGCCAATCATGAGTTTTGTCCTAACACTGAACTCCTACCTGCTATATAGTTAGGTACTATTTTGGAGTATTAACCTGTACAATAATGATATATTGTATGAGTTACCTACAGATTGGGAGGTGGTACTTAAATGACATCTTGCTGGCATAATAAACTGAAGCATACCAAATTAAATTCCATTAGTAGTTTGGAATGTGTTAGTTATATTATCATATTTTGCAAACTTATTTAAACTTATTGTTGAAGACTAACTGAACAACCAAAAAGTGTAAACTACAGGGACAACATAAAAAATATACAAGAAGCATATTTCTTTTTTAAAAACGTTTAGAGTGTGTGTATGAGATTCACTTCTGCCTGATTTGTCAGTTTGAATAAAATGCATAATAAAGAGCACAAAGAAGGTCTAAATTTAAATATCGAACATTGCGAGGATTAAGTTTTATACTTCTGTGAGTATAGTGTTTTGCCATTTCTTTTTTATCTTACCAAATTTGACATTGAATACTGTGATGCTTTATGTGCTAATTCTTTCTGCATAGCTGTGTTAAATCGTTAACATCATGAGTTTATCTTGTGTGTGTATTTGTGAAGTAGGCATGACTTCTCTCCTGTAATTGAGAATAGACCACTGACTTTTGCCGTCATGAAGGAAATTATTCTCATCACTTTTAAATTCTATTTATTCCTTATTTGTTAGGTTCCTGGAGCCGAAGGTCTTGTGGTTAGAGTTGTTTCATCAGTGGACAAGAAGCTGGAAGTAAAACCACGTTTTTTGGAAATTTTTCAAGAAGATAACTACCCGACAGAGTTCCCATACAAGTCCAAGGTAAGAAATTAGTCCAGTATTCTTTCAAAAGAACACCAATCATTTCAAGCATAAATCATACGTGAAACTGTTTTTTATCAAATGTTTGGCAGGCTGTCCTTTTGTTCCAGAAAATAGAAGGTGTAGAAGTGTGCCTATTTGGAATGTATGTTCAAGAATTTGGTGCAGAATGCTCCTACCCGAACCAGCGTCGTGTTTATTTGTCATACCTGGATTCTGTTAAATACTTCAGGCCTGAGATTAGAACGGTGTCTGGAGAGGCGTTACGTACATTTGTTTATCATGAAATTCTGGTAATGTTCTATGTTTGCTGAGTTTTTCTAAATTTAAATGCGTTGTTTTGCCAGGCTGGTCATACTATTTTTGTATGCAACTCTTTGGGGGGGATTCTGCCTTCCTCCTTAGGCTAGCGTTTTTCTGCACTATCTAATGCTAGGTCTCTATGTGTTCAGATAGGATATCTTGAATATTGCAAGCAGCGTGGATTCACAAGCTGTTACATATGGGCGTGCCCACCTTTAAAAGGTGAAGATTACATTTTGTACTGCCATCCTGAGATTCAGAAGACTCCAAAATCCGACAAATTGAGGGAGTGGTAAGACCTTTGTTGACACTTCTGTTACTCTGCTCACTTTTAGCTCTTCTAGTTTACATGATTTCTGATGTACTTTACACTCAGGTACTTATCTATGCTTCGAAAAGCTACCAAGGAGGAGATTGTTGTTGAGCTGACAAATCTATATGACCATTTCTTCATTACTATGGGGGAGTGCAAGGCTAAAGTGACTGCTTCTCGTTTGCCTTACTTTGATGGAGATTATTGGCCAGGAGCTGCAGAAGATATGATCAATCAACTTCGTCAAGAAGAAGATGACCGGAAGCAGCAGAAGAAGGGCAAGACAAAGAAGATTATTACAAAAAGAGCTCTTAAAGCTGCTGGCCACACCGATCTCAGTGGGAATGCTTCCAAGGATGCTATGCTGATGCACAAGGTAGGATTGTACAGTGGTTTGCGTGCTCCTTATTTTGATAGATCACATGGCTGCTAGCACTCTACCCCTCTTTCCCTTTCTATCATCCTTGCTCAGTATTTGTTTTTTTCACTTTACTGGATGGCATCTTTACCATGAACTTGATTTGTTATGTGCAGCTTGGGGAAACCATTTATCCAATGAAGGAAGATTTCATTATGGTTCATTTGCAGTATTCGTGTAGTCACTGTTGTACCCTTATGGTGTCTGGAAAACGTTGGGTTTGCCATCAATGCAGAAGCTTTTACATATGCGACAAGTAAGTTATTTTCTTTAACAATATTACACACGTGTTATTGATCTATATGAGGCCACAGTCTGAAGACATCTGTGACATGCCAAACAAATCTATACCAGTATTATTTCACATGGTCATGTTTAATATGGTGCCCAGCGAGGAGAGTTGACTCATCAACTGGAAAATTATTCATCGAAGAACAGCAGTTCAAGTACCACAATAGACTACACAAAAATTTATCCTTGCCCCTCATTATTGAACCCACAGAAGATCACAGGTCTTTTTGTTGCATCAAGTTCCTTGTAGAAAACAACAATACCAGCCTTTAGTCCCAAGCAAGTTGAGGGGCAATAAGCTCCCAGCAAACCAGAAATACTGAAAGGCAGATGTGCTACTCTGTCCTCAACATCTGCATAAACTTTGCTAAGGCCATGACTCCCCACTTTGGTATAGTAGTCATATATCAAGCTATCTCCTCTTTTCATCCCCTTGATCTTGGCAAGCCTCTGAATGAGCATTGCTGTCTCATCAAGCATGCACGGATTTAGTCAATGGTGAAGTTGACACCCTATGCCCAAAGGGTTGCTAGTGACCCTGTTAGTGCCCCGCCTCCAATAATTGATCTCCCCATGTGCCCTCCCTGCAAACTGGGGTGACACGTAGAAAGCCCAGACACGCTCCTAATCCTCTTTAGGCAAGCCAAGGTGCCCGGATGTCTGACCCTACGAGACTAGATGATTTATAATAAATACTTTGGAAAAAGATTGTTGTCTTTAGACAGACTTTCGAGCTAGATGATTTTTTTGGGGGTTCTGGTGAAGTCATTTTGTCACATTGAGCATTTTGTTTCAGGTGTTACGATGCAGAACAACAGCTTGAAGATAGGGAGAGGCACCCAAGTAACAGTAGAGACACACATACGCTCCATCCGGTAACTGACTGAACTTATATTCTCTTCTTGTTGAGAAAAGGAGCAAATAGTAACTAACGTATAACTTGATCCTTCCATACTTTAGGTTGACATTGTTGGGTTGCCCAAAGATACCAAGGATAGAGATGATATTCTGGAAAGTGAATTTTTTGACACCAGGCAGGCCTTCCTTAGTCTCTGTCAAGGAAATCATTATCAGTACGATACCCTTCGCCGTGCTAAGCACTCATCGATGATGGTGTTGTACCATCTACATAATCCAACCGCACCAGCGTTTGTCACTACATGCAACGTCTGCTGTCATGATATTGAAACTGGTCAGGGTTGGCGGTGTGAAGTCTGTCCAGATTTTGATGTATGCAATTCTTGTTACCAAAAAGGAGCAGTCAATCATGCTCACAAGTTAACAAACCATCCATCAGCTGCTGATCGTGATGCCCAAAATAAGGAAGCTCGGCAAATGCGTGTCCAGCAGGCAAGTTCTTTTAAATGTTACCCTTAGTGATCTTCTTCGGACATTGTCAAAGATTTTTTTTTCCTCTTTAGTTGAATAAAAATATGCACTTCGTGCTAAAAAACATGACAACTGTCGAACTTAAATTCCATTTATAAATTTATGGTAAACCATATGATACCATTAGCATGGTAAATAGCCCACATAGAGAGGATAATATCACCTTATGGTTATATCATTATTTTAATTTGCATCCTTTTGTGGAAAAACTCAATTCTGTCATTGTGTTCCATTTTCTAGAAACCCTTCAGGATATAGTATCACCTAATGTGATGTTTCTTTCATGACGCTGCAGCTAAGGAAGATGCTTGATCTTCTGGTACATGCCTCGACATGCCGCTCTGGCAGTTGTCAATACCCAAACTGCCGGAAAGTCAAGGGACTGTTTCGTCATGGGATGCAGTGCAAAACACGTGCTTCAGGAGGGTGTGTTCTTTGCAAGAAAATGTGGTACATGCTCCAGCTCCATGCCCGAGCTTGCAGGGACTCAGGATGCAACGTGCCGAGATGCAGGTGTGTTGGTGCTTCTCACTTTTGTTCCGTCACCTTGCCTTGTGCTTGATCTGGAATAACACCCTGACCACTTACGGAAACTATACACTATGCAGGGATCTCAAGGAGCATCTTCGAAGGTTGCAACAGCAATCTGATTCTAGGAGGAGGGCTGCTGTAAATGAAATGATGAGACAGAGAGCAGCAGAAGTTGCTGCAAACGAGTAGTGGCATCTGTACAGCTATATACTGTGGAAAGAAGATAGGGAGCGCGCAGTGTCGCTGCCCTCGCTCATTCCCACTCCCAAGTAGAAGCTTGGGATATGGTTGAATTAGAGGATCTAGCTAAGAAGTTGTCTCAGATGGATTCGTCCCATGAAACTGTCCTGGAGATGCAAGACGTCGCGCATTCTTCCGCCAGTTGTTAACCTATGGCTTGGAAGCCTGCCTCTGCCTCCTCTTCTTCAAAGGAAAGAAATGAAATGGATGAAAGGGGTGTACCACAATAGGTGGTAACTACTGTGTTCTGTGCTAACTAGTTGCACCCTGCTGACGGTGCCCGGTGAAATCGTCGTCGTCGATAGGACCCCCAGCCCTTGGGTGTGGTGATTCTTTTATTTGACCTCCTGTACTAGTGGAACTAATCTTGTTTTGCTGCTTGCCTCCTCTTCATGTATAATAGGTTTCTGGAACTCTTATTGTTGATGAAAAATTGGTCTAGCTGTTCCCCCTCCAGCACCTTGTTGTTGTTGTTGCCTCCATCAGGAGTGAGAGGGGTATAGGGAAGAAAAAAGGAAGAAGAAGAGGGTTGGGCATTGGATATGAATTGTTTATTTCTGCCCCCCATTTTGTAGGAACCAATCTTTGTTTTAAAGTATAAAAGCATAGCATATCCTGCATTCTGTTGTATCATTAACATTACATCTCCTGCATTTCTTCTTGTTTCCCCTCTGTTGCATTTCAGCTGGCTATTTCTGTGCAATATTTTCTCTCTGGAAATTTATGTTTTATAGTACTATCCGTCCTAGAAAATAATGATTTTTTTTGACACGGATATTAAGAAACTCCATCTACTTTTGAAGGCAATATTTCTAAATCTGAAAATTTTACTTTTGATGGGCATATTTCAATCCAACCAGATATCTTCTTAATGACTTTCTCGGATTTAATATGTAACTATCCATTCTTTCACACAAGATTGGCATTATTCCACACAAGATTGGCTACATGCTCATGGAGAAATGTAAATATTAAGGCAAATGAATCGTTTATTTACGATGAATAACTAGTAACATGTTTAAATGAATGATAAGTAGAATTACTTATCCTTGGTCATTGTGCTAAGATGAAATATAACTATCAAAAGTAGATGGAGTGAACATGAAGGTTGTGATTGTACGAGGGAAAAATTAAATGGTCGACAATTATGATTGGTTAGAAAAATAACGTTCGTGGACAAATAAAGACCAATGTTGTTATACTCCATTACGGAACGGATTGAGCAAGTTTTTTTTTGGAATTTCACCTATATAAGTGTGTCCTGCTTCTGTTGTGCCACTGCCAGTAACATGTGCACCCCTACATTAATTGCTGTGTTTCCTCCCCTACTATTATACTCTGGTCACTGTAAACTGTGCGCATTGAGATTTAACCAAAATTTCGAAATTCGCTTGAATATCCTATCAGTTCGAATTTTGATACCAAAGGCCTCATGTTTGAATTACGATGAGCTCAAAGCCTCGAATCCATAACTTCAAGCCCGAACCCTGAAATCCTGGCCGTCCATTTGTTAATCGGGCGGTTGGCAAACACCCTGCTTGCTGTTCTATCCGCGCCTTGCCCGCCGTCGCGTGTGGCTCTCGCCTCGACGACCATGGCGATGTTCGCGCGGCGCCTCCTCGTCTTCCACCTCCGCCCGCCCGCGCATCCCCTCGCAGCCGCCATTGCCGCTCCCCACCGCCGCCGCAAGCACGACGCCGTCGCGTGCAGAGCCGCTGCGGGGAAGGGGACGAGCAAGGCCAGGGCGAGGGACAAGGACGGCAGTAAGCGGCAGCAGAGGCGGGCGCTGGAGGAGCACCTCAAGCGGCGCACGCGCTCCGGCGCCGCCTTCGACGCCGGCCTCTACCGGCGGCACTCCCACGCGGAGCACGTCCCCGTCATGCTCGGCGAGGTCCTCGCCGCGTTCCGCCGCCCTCTCCCGCTCCGCTCCTTCGTCGACTGCACCCTCGGCGCGGCCGGCCACTCGCTCGCCGTCAGTAGTAGTTCCCCCTCCTGTTCTCCCTTACAATTCCAGTTACCTTTACATTGCTCGCCGACGATAGCTGCTCGACGAAATGCTGCTTCTTCTTCTTGGCTCTTTAGTGTTATCCGTTGTGTGATCGTTGATGCGCACCAGCTGTTTGATAGAATGCCTATTCGGCTTGTGCAATAGATGATGGAGGCACACCCGGAGATGGAACTGTACATTGGGATGGATGTCGATCCCTCTGCGCTGGAGATTGGCCGGAGCCGTATCGAGGCCTTCCTTGCCAATAGGGAAACTAATGGAGATGACGAAGATGCCTCGCAGGGAACACTGCGTGCATACACTCACGCCAAGAATTTCAAGTACATCAAGCATGTTCTTGGCAGCGTGGATGAGAACATTGCTGTTGGAACGTCTGGAGTTGATGGAATCCTCATTGACCTTGGCATGTCATCCATGCAGGTCAGGTGTTCCGTAAAACGCAGTGAAATTGATGGTAAGCCTCCTTTATTTCCCATTTAGTCATCTGAATGCCCTGTTGTACTATCCACAGGTGAACAGATCAGACAGGGGATTTAGCGTTCTTCAGGATGGGCCACTTGACATGCGCATGGATCCTAAGGTCAGTGTTGCTTTGCTCTAGTTTACTGCCCATTCCTTCCTTCCACTTGCATACGAAAATGCATTGCCACAAAATTTTCTTCTAGTTGAAGGGCTATGAACATTGATTGACAAAACTACAGTCTTACATCTTCATCTTGTTAAAGTCTAGTTTTGCTGGAGCTTGGAAAACATGATCCCAAAACATTTTTATGCATAATGCATTCATATTGCAATGCAAACTTGTATAAAATCTTTCCAGAAATTTCTAAAACATTGAATCACACTCCAGTCCATTTTATTTGGATCTGTCTTGACTGTAGTTACACTTGTGTTGACAATTGGTATTTCACTTTTTGCAAACAATGTTAACCCAGTAAATTAATACATTATATTACTTGAAGTGCAACACATCCTTACCAATGGCCTGTTCTTTTCCATATGAATAAACTACCGTTAGATTTGCCATGTCCAAAAATTTCAAAAGAACGTAGATTTAGTGCCACTTTATCATTTGCAGTAATCCATAATCAACTAGCAAAGTGACAAAGCCCCAAAATAGCACATAATCTTAATCTTGGTTGCCTTGAAATCTTTGTACTACACCTAACCTATATATGAGATTAGACAGGCAACTTTGAAAGCAGAAGATATCTTGAATTCTTGGCCTGATCTTGAAGTTGGGCGTATCCTGCGTGATTATGGTGAGGAAAGTAATTGGCAGTCCCTTCAGAAGCGGATTGTTAAAGCCCGGGCTATGGGGGGTTTGCACTCGACAGGGGAGCTTGTCAAACTTATCCAAAGAACGTGTACCAGTTCAGGGGGTATGTATGATGATGGTATCTCTAAATGTGGTTATATGATTTGTGTATGTATGACCTGATGTTTTATGACAAACTTATAAACTGCAGGAAGGCAAGGTTGGATTAAGACTGCAACAAGGGTGTTTCAGGCCCTAAGAATCGCAGTTAATGATGAACTCCGAACTCTAGAAGATGCACTTCATGCATGCTTTGATTGCCTAGCAACAGATGGTCGCCTTGCAGTAATCTCATTCCACAGTTTGGAGGATAGAATAGTGAAGCAGACCTTTCTGGAACTTATTCATGAAGATGAAATAGATGATGATGAAGACGACTTGGTGAGTGCTGACATTGATAGTGAAGATGAACCCTGGTTTAAGCAGAGAGTGCAAGGAAAGAATGGAACCATTCTAACGAAAAGACCAATATCTCCTTCACAAGAGGAGGAAGAACTGAATCAGAGGTGCAGAAGTGCCAAGCTCAGAGTTATTCAGAAGGCGTGAACCTGGATTAATCATATGATGACTAAATTCTGAGCTCTGAGGAGCAGTGAGGACATCCATGCGTGAACTCATATAACATGTGAATGATCGCGCTTGCAGTTGCAACAATAATAACTGGAAAAACTAGCTCGAGAGGATGAAATGGCCATCCTGTTTCTGCAGTTAACTTAGAGAGTAGAGCTTAGGTAAGTCCAAAAATTAATCTCACTATTTGCACCACCATTTTGTACCCCATTCATGTACACTAAACTCTCTAACAATAGTTTTTACTGCATCTCTTCTTGTTTTTTTTTTTTGGTTATGCAGGAAGCCTCTGATTAAATTGCATATTTTACCAGCTAATTAAACATATGATGGTTGTTTGACTTGGGATTTCTTGCTCATATCAATTGTACTTGTTTACACTCAAGCAGGGTAGGGAACCACCACAAAATAAGTCAAGTTCAGATAAAACCAAAACATGCATATTCAGAATCCAACGTTGGTGCTCATCTTGTTCTTGGCAGAGATATGGCTACAACCTTTTCGTGGCTCACATTGTCACCCAATAGTTGATAGTACAATTAAAGATCACCTAAATTTAAGTCATTTACTTCTCATATTTCATATTATAAGTTGCTTTGACTTTTTTCTAATCAAATTTTAAGTTTAACTAAATTCATAAAAAGAATATAGCAACATTTCCTACATAAAATAAACATATTATCAAAATGTATTAAAAGTTAATTGTAATGAAAATAAGTTTGTATTGTAAGTAATGCTATTTTTTAAAAAATTTGGTCGAACTCAAAAAGTTTAACTTAGAATATATTATAATCCGCTTTAACTTTTATCTAAGTTAAAACTCTATAAGTTTAACTAAATTTATAAAAAAAATATCAATTCTTATAACACTAAATTAGTTCATTAAATCTAATATTGAATATATTCTAATAATACATTTATTTGGTGTTGAGAATATTGAAGGATTTTTCTTTAAATTTAATTAAATTTAAAGAAGTTTGATTAAAAAAAAAAAAAGGTTAAAATGTCACGCGGACGTACGCAGGCAAGCCAGCGACGAGTCCGTAGCCACCAGCGAGAGCGGTGAATCCGGCGGAGCCACGTCGCCGGCGCCGCCGATCGCCAAGCCCACAAGCCGCCACGTCACCCTCTCCTCCTCCGCGCCACATTTTCTTTAAATTATTTTTCTCCAACTCTTAAATCGTACCATGAGTCACTGCAGCGTGGGCCCCACCTGCTCTTCTGACAACCACATCCACAAGCACCAGCAGCCGCGAGATTTTCTTTTCTTCCATATATAAGCAGTGAAGCAGCGCACACGAGCAGCCAAGAATCTCTCTCTCGCGCGCGGATCGCCTCGAATTCGCGAGCTCGCGGAAATGGCGGCCATGTCGTCGCGCTGTGCGGCTTCCTCGTCCTCATCCGCGTTCCTCAGAGCTCCGCTTCCCGGCGGCAGGCACCACCAGGGCTCTTGCGGCTTCGTCGCCGCCGGCGGCGGTGCTAAGACGACGGTGAGGGTTGCGGCGGCGCTCGACACGGAGGCCACGGCGAAGGCTGGCAAGTCGTCCTCCCGGGCGCGGCGGGCGAGGAAGGACGGCGGCGAGCCCGGTGGCTCCTCCTCCACCGCGCTGCTTGCTCCTACCCATCCCGACGGCGGCGGCGGCGGCGGCGTGGCGCTCGACGACGTGATCGTGAACCCGGTGGGGCTGGGGCGGCGGTCCCGGCAGATCTTCGACGAGGTGTGGCGCAAGTTCTCGCGGCTCGGGCAGATGTCGACGGTGGCGTCGCCGGAGCAGGAGGAGCAGGAGGGCGTCCTCTTCCGCGGCGGCGGCCCGATGTGCGACTTCGCCGTCCCCGGCGCGCAGGACACCACCGTCCTCGTCGTCGGCGCCACCAGCCGCATCGGCCGCATCGTCGTCCGCAAGCTCATGCTCCGTGGCTACAACGTCAAGGTCACTTACTTTTACCTCTTCTTTCTTGTCAAGCTTTCTCATGTCAAATCAACAAATTTTGATCAAGGGTGTGTTTAGATCTTTGGGGGTAAAGCTTTTAAAGTATACTGACACATATTTGAAGTATTAAACGTAGACTAATAACAAAACATTACAGAGTCCATCTGTAGACTGCAAGATAATCTTATTAAGGCTAATTAATCCGTCATTAGCAAATGTTTACGGTAACATCACATTGTCAAATTATGGCGTAATTAGGCTCAAAAGATTCGTCTTGCAATTTATCTATGTTATTTTTTTTTTGAAACAGGCTCTGGTCAGAAGGAATGATCAAGAAGTGATCGACATGCTTCCAAGATCTGTGGACATTGTGGTTGGTGATGTTGGCGATGCTTCTTCAGTTCAAGCTGCCGTGTCAGGCTGCAACAAGGTAATCTACTGCGCAACTGCACGGTCAACGATTACCGGTGATCTCAACAGAGTTGATAACCAAGGCGTGAGGAATGTCACCAAGGCCTTCCAGGTAGTTCTTGTGAAAAATCTTTGAAGAAACATGCAAATCAATCTTATTTAGATTTCTGATATGTTTACTGAACTGTGATTTACTTTGCAATTCAGGATTACTACAATCAGTTGGCTCAGTCAAGGGCTGGTAAAAGCAGCAAGAGCAAACTGTCGATTGCCAAGTTCAAATCTGCCAAATCTCTTCAAGGATGGGAAGTGAATCAGGGATCATACTTTCAGGATATTTATCCTTCTAGATTCGATGAAGGCACCGATGCATCGTTTGAAATATCTGAAAATGGACAGGCTGTTTTCTCAGGTATCACCTGATATGAAAGCTATTACATCATGATCTCTGAATTGTACACTATAGTGAGATTGCCTTTTTTAAAAAAGTATTCAGATATATTGCTTCAGTTGATGATTTTTCATTTGTTTTTAATTCTCTTATCAAAATTTTCTGTGATTAGGGTTTGTTTTCACAAGAGGTGGATATGTTGAAGTGTCGAAACGGCTTTCGCTCCCACTAGGTTCCACCCTAGACAGGTGTGATAAGATTCTTCAGTTTATTTTTTCTTAATAAGTTTGCCTGATGTTGCAAAATCATGACATGATCTGTTCTTTGTTATGCTGCCATGTTCTACCTGAAGATACGACGGCTTACTTCTATCCGTGGGTGGAAATGGAAGATCATATGTTATCATCCTTGAGACTGGTCCACTAGCTGACACCTCACAGAGCAAGAAATATTTTGCTCGGATGAACACTAAAGTAGGGTTTTGCAGGGTAAGTGGCAAGTGATGATCCCACTTCACTAAATTACCTGTTTCTGCATTGCTAATCGGAGTGATCAGTTAACTAAATGCTGAAAATATTCTTGTTCTGTTCAGGTGAGAGTGCCGTTCTCAGATTTCAGGCCAGTGAACCCACAGGACCCTCCTCTTGACCCTTTTCTTGTGCACACATTAACCATAAGGTTTGAACCCAAAAAACAGGTCAGTGCAAAATGATTTGTTGAATCAATTGGAGATAGGCAATGCTTCTGGAAGTTGTTAGTTTACCAATAAAATCCTTGTGCAGAGACCTGGTGACTCGTCTCAAGGAGCTAGTGACCCAAGAAATTTCCAGCTTATAATGGAATTTATAAAAGCTCTACCTGTAAGTAATTCACCTGATTCTATCAATTGATCTGCCATTTAAATTTCCAATGTTGCAGATATTTACCGGAAATTTCATTTGTTTTTTGCAGACTGGTCAAGAAACAGACATTGTTTTGGTTTCATGCACAGGCTCTGGAATCGAACCTAACAGAAGAGAACAAGTCCTCAAAGCAAAGAAGGTATCACTTCTCATAACCACACATCAAATGCAAACTGTTCTTGATGCACTCTTGATACAAACATTAACCAGTTTATTATCTCTCTAGGCTGGAGAGGATGCACTGAGGAGATCCGGCCTCGGATATACAATTGTATGCCCAGGTCCTCTGCAGGTACAACATCTGAATGAATTGGATTGTCTTTTTTTTTCTTTTCCTAAATGTATATTTTCAGCACCAGTTGTTTCTCATGTAGTGCATTGCATATTGATATTGCTGCTGAATTTCAGTACAAGCTGTAGCTACATAAACCTTAGTGTCAAACCGATGAAACTAAATATTCATCAAGCAAGCAGCCAAGATTTAAGCATGCAAGTTGATCACTAATCATAGAATTGAGTGTGAAATTTGAGTATAAATTATGCTTATTTCCAAGCCCCAAATATACTTTCTTCAGTCCATACTACAGTATAGTATAACATAGTATCCCTTCTTCATTCCAGGAAGAACCTGGCGGTCAGCGTGCTCTGATCTTTGATCAAGGGAACAGAATCTCTCAGGTGACATAGCATTCACTGCGTGCAATTATGCCTGATATAATTGCATGTTCAATGTTAGTATACATGCTAACCATTAGGCTTTTCAACTGAAATATAAATGCAGGGTATCAGCTGTGCCGACGTAGCAGATATCTGTGTCAAGGCATTGCACGATTCAACAGCAAGAAACAAAAGCTTTGATGTAAGGAAAAAAAAAACCTTGTATTGTGAACTGGCCATTTGTGCAACAGGTAGTGAAATGACTAACCAGGACACCAACCTGATTTGTGTAGGTGTGCTATGAACATGTCTCAAAGCAAGGGGATGAGTTGTATGAACTTGTAAGCCCCAAAACTGAAACTTCAGTAGATTCATCTTTGTACAGCAATTCGCAAAATTTCTTCTCTGATCTGTCTGTGTTTTGCACTTTTGCTAATGATCTGTCGAATTGTTTTCAGGTGGCTCATTTGCCTGACAAGGCGAACAATTACCTGGCACCAGCTCTCTCTGTTCTTGAGAAGAACACCTGATTGATCAAATGATCAGTGACCCATCAAATTTTATGTCATTCTGGGTCAGATTATTGTCCATGTGTATATGATTCATCTTGTAAAGGTTTTCCTTTTCTCATAGAAACCGTGTGGAGTCCACTTGTGCCATGATGACCGTCTCCAGCACAAAAGTGAAGGAGTTGTTGACAAAAAAAATCCATGGTCCTACTACTTTCCCATCTCTGTAAAACTTGTAGAATTTTCATAACAATTGGGCATGAATTAGGGTGTGTTTAGTTCACACTAAAATTGAAAGTTTGGTTGAAATTAGAACAATGTGACGGAAAAGTTGGAAGTTTGTGTATGTAGGAAAGTTTTAATGTGATGAAAAAGTTGGAAGTTTGAAGAAAAAATTTGTAACTAAACTCGGCCTTAGGCCCATCCTATATAGCAATTTTGAGAACTTTGAAGAAGTAATGAGCATGAGGAAAGTGCATTTGTCTAAGAAGTGAATATCTCCCAATTTGTGTACATTTGTATCGTTTCTTCAATTTTGTCACGCTCAAGAAGCTATGAGTATGAATTTTAGAATTTAATTCTATGATTAATTAAGGGATGTTCTTCGTCACTTTTGTTGCCTAGTTCTGTGATAATAATGCTATCAAAACAAGTAAAACTCAACCTAAAATTTTTTTGAAGTCAAACTTTATTAGGCATACCAACTTAAGTTTCTTTTTCTTGTTTCCATAGCAAAGCCAAAGGGAGTCTAAATTTACACCTCCATCGTTGAAACATTGGCAGTGGCTTTGCTAGGCATGCCAACTCACGTATCACCCTCTGGTACCACCTTTGTCATGCCAACTCATATTTCTTTCTCTAACTCGTGTTTAGGCTCATTTTGATCTGTATGAGAAAAACCTCGAAAATTTAGAGGATTTTAATCCTATTGAAAAAGTTTCTAAGGGTGTGTTCTATAGTACAATTTTTCAACTTCTACTTCCTCAAATATTGCGCGTACGCTTCCCGAAGTGCTAAATAGTGCATGTTTTGTAAAAAAAATCTATACAAAAGTTGATTGAATGTATTTTTAGCTAATATTTAATTAACCATACGTTACCATTTATGTGACAGAAGTGTTTTCAATCCTTCTTACCGAACCTCAGATAAGAAGCCCTTTGAAAAAAAAGATAGAAAAAGATTGAACCATATCAAGTCTATCTCTCTCATCTTTTTTTTTTGTTTTTTCCTATGGTATATTCAAACGACTTATATTTTGCATTTACATTTGTATGAAAATACTATGCTTTTATATTCCTTTTTTTTTCTTAATCCTTCAATTCAAAGGATCCCTTAAATTTAACATATTATTTAAAAAACAGAATGGAGATATGTTATACTATAAGGACCCACATGAAAAGCCATCCAAGTATTTCATTATACACCACTCTTCATTAGTACTCCATCCATCCATTCTAAAATATAAATATTTGAACTTCTTTAGAAAAGATTAAAGTTGAGAGAAAACGATTTTATTTTTAGCCACATCTTTGATCAAATTCTGAATTTTGAACTAGTTAGATTCTTTCTCCAACCTTCTGATTGGTCGAAAAAATACTGAGATTTTGGAACTGCTCTCAGCCGGCCAGGCAAGTGTTACCAAAAGATAAAACACGGAAAGGAAAGAAAAAACCCAGAGATGCGCCCTGCCAGGTCAGCTTTCCGCCGCAGTCTGCCCCTCTGCCACCGGGCCCCACCCCCCACCCCTGCCACAGGTTACTGCCTCTCTCTGACCCCATTGACCAACTCCGTTGACCAGTCAAACCTCTCTCTCCCTTTCACATTTTCACCCGCCTCTCGCCGCTGCCGTCCTCGCTATGAAATGAAATGAAACCACCACCACCAACGACTTCCTCCTCCACCCGCTTCGTCTTCGTCTTCTTCCTCCTCCACCTCCACTTGATCCCAGCATCCGCATCCGCAGCTGCAGCAGCAGCGGCGAGGTGGAGGTAGCTAGATCCGTGGGAGGTGGTGGTTGTGGTGGTGAGGGGGAGATGAGGGGGGAGGCGAACGGGGAGGAGGAGCAGCAGCCGCCGCGGCGGAATCATCTGCGGGACGACGCGGAGGAGGAGGAGGAGGTGGAGCGGAGGGCGGCGAGGCCGGTTTCCGGTCAGCAGCAGCAGCAGCAGCGGCGGCGACCGACGGATGTGGGGGGAGGGGCGGCGATGAGGAGCGTGGGGTACGTCGGGAAGCACCGCCTCTCCGCCGCCATCGCCCGCCTCGACCAGGAGCTCCAGTCGCTGCAGGTCAGCGCCACCCCCCTCCCTCCTCTTCCTCTCATCTCCCATGAACTTGATTCTCCGTGTGCTTATTGCTTATCAAGCACTAGTATGTGTGCCTTTACTGTCTCTGTGCTGTGGCCTGTGGATGTGTAGCGAGTCAGCAGTTCAAGCTGTGGCGCGATCTAGATCTTGAGAAAATCCAGAAACCGAAGTTTTTTTTTTCCGTTCTATCAATGCCTTCTTGGCTTCTTCTGTTGCGTATGCATGTACTGATGTATGTGTACAATCAGTACATGCAAAGGGAAACAAAAGAGTTCTTCCTTTATCCACAGCTTTTGTTCTTACATTGAAAAATTATGAAAGCGTTGAACCAAATCACCCAGACTACTAGACTTATAGTGCTTTAAAATTAGGAGTTTGTCCTAATTTGTTTTTTTTACATTTTGTCCATGAAACATGTCCACCATTGCCCATATTAAGCCACATAATCTGCCTACTTTTGTTTAAGCGGGTTGCGAGTTTGAGAGCTTTCAGGGGGTATTGACAAGAACACAAGTAACAGGATTCTGGTGGTCTCAATGCATATATAGATGTCTCCTACTGGACAGCTTGAGCTGTGCTGAAAATATGATTCTGCACAACTTTCTGAAGTGCAGCAAGTGTTACGCATAATGTTCCACCCCCTCAGTGATTTAGATCCTAAAGCAGCACCAGTGGACAAGTTGAGGTACTTGCATCCCTTGTCTTCACTTGCTCTTCTGGCCTGTGACCCTCAGAAACACACATATGTTGCTTGCCTCTATATGGTAGCTTTCTAGAGCTTGTTAGTGAAACATTTGATGGGAACTGTTGACTGAGGCTTATAATTTGAATGGTTGAATTTGATGAATCTACTCCATTACAAGTATTTGTTATTTTCCACTATGTTCTCTGATTTTCAGCTTCTCTCTCCTAGGAGGACCTTGTTTTTCTCCTAGGGGGGTAGGGGATCCACAGTAGTCTTCTATTCTCTTGGGTTTAATTCTCTGTATTTTTTCTAAGTTAGTGGAAAACAAGCTATGCGCAGAGAGAACTACATACATTGGCAAGAAGAAAATTCAGTTTCCCTTAATATTCTGCATCATAGACAGGTTGGATAGATTATTGTGCAATGCAAGATTCTTCAAGAATCTCTCCAGGCTGCATTCGTATTAAAGGTTGGTGTGCTTAGCGTAATCCTAATAGTATAACCACCTCTATAAAATCCTATTCGGTCCTTCTGGTGCTAGGCCCTGGAATTGGTAATTAAAGTCCTGGATTTAGTAATCGGAATGAATATGTGCTATTACTCACCAGATTACGTGTAATTATTTGTGAGCACAATCAGTTCAACTATTCTTCTCATTTCTGTTCGCAAAAACATCTTGTTTCATCATATCAGTTGAAACTATACAGTGAGAAATTCACTTACATTTTCTACTGGTATTTTGTTTTTACTTAGCCACGTTTATTAGAAATATTAGGCTAAAAATCCTAACTAACTCATCGAGAGGACTTTTCTTATGATTTCATTTGGTTTATTGTCGCCATGCTTTAGTTTTTTTTTTTTATTTATTGTGATGTATAGTATATGTGCATTTGACACAGGATGAACTGAACGAGCTTGAAACCATGGAACCGGCATCTGCTGCATGCCAAGGGTAAGTAAATTCTGAGTGTAGCATTTGTTTTCCCTTGTACCTAACGTTTCTCTGTTTTGTGATTCTTTTGTCCTCTTGATCATGCCAGAGTGATCACAAGTACAGAGGGAAAATCCGACCCGCTTCTTCCTGTGTAAGTCGCGATGTTTAGCTACTCATTCTAGTACCTCACCCTGCAAGATCTGAAGATCGTACTGCATAAGGACTTGTGTAACCATGATCTTTCTCATCTTTACAGCACCATTGGTCCAGAGAACGCTTCTTGGGAGAGATGGTTTCAGCGCGTGCGTAGCTCTCGCAGTAACAAATGGTGGGCATCCAAAGGCTCAGATTTTTCCTAGCCCCCTCCTGCAAAGATGAGACTACCAGCTTTGTGCAGATTAAAATCACCTGAACTGTATCATCCACGGATGGCTTGGCAGCCAACAAGAACACAACGTCGCTTGCCGCCTTGCGGGCTGTCTAGTTCTTCTCAGGACACGCAATAGTTTTTGGAGAGAATTGCTATTGTTGTTAATGTATGTAATCCCTAACACGAACATGGACGAATGTACCGACATTATCTTCCAGAGCTCTTGATTAGCTCTGCTTGATTGATTCTAATGCTTTCCTGCAATGCCATGCAAAACATTCAGATTGCGATGCACAATATGTCCATGGAAAGGATCTGGGAAGAAAAAAAAATAACACCAGGTTCTGACCTTTGACGCTCAGAATTTTACATGTGCTGTGCTGTTAATCTTCAGTCACTGGCCAGCTGTTTATGCAGGTTATCAACTTATCATGCAGGTTTAGTCTCGACTCTGAAATAGAGTTGCCGTGGTTGTGAACAAAATGGACGGCAAATCAGCTACTCCGTCCTGAAATATAAACATTTTTAAAATAGTGTTAAGTCAAATATTTTTAATAACAAAAATATAGAAAAGATTAATCATCATTAAACACAGTATCATAATATACAACTCTTTTTATTTAAAGCTTTTTACTTTTAAACATATTATTAGTCAAAGTTTCATTTCGAAAACTATGCTAAATTCAAAAATAATTATATTTTGGGACGGAGATAGAACTCGCTACTCAGCACCGCCACCCAGCCCAGCCATCTCCTCTGCTCTCTCTGCCATGGCTTCCACCGTCGCCTTCTCCGTGTCGCCAATTGTCCGCCGCCTGCACTGCAGGAGGCCGGGGAGGGGAGGACTCGGAGGAGCACTTCTATGCCCGTCCCGAGAACCAAGGCCGTGGCCCGAACGCCGCGGCGGCGTCCGTGCAGACCAAGGCCGGAAAAGATCACCGACGAGCGCGGAGTGGCCGCCCGGCTGCCGTTCCCGACGCCGCGGGCACCGGAGATCGATCAGGCCTGGCATGCTCCCCCATAGAAGCATTGGATTCGCAAAGGGGGAGAAATCTCTTGCTGTCTTCGTAATGGACAGGTGAGTTAACCCTATTCCGGTCGATCGATATGAGAAGTTTACTGGCAACCATAGGTGATTGATATGTAACACAACCTCCTAAACAATCCGCATTAATCACATTGTGTTCATCTATGCAACAGTTTAGTACACAATCCATGGTTTAACAACAATTCAAAGTGGCCACCGATGAGTTGATTGCACATGGTAAAAATTGCTGATAGACTTTGGGCTTTTATCCCTCTAAAAAAAGAATTGAGATGAAAAAAAAAAAAGAAGAGCTACTACACCTTTCACGATGATGGCTGATAACACACACGAGCATTTTGTCTTATTTTATTTGGATGCGAACTCTGAAATACCAGCGGCTGACTTAGATTCCATTAGTACTGATACCCAATTACCCATTTTGTTACGCAATGCACTGGATAGAAATAGAATAATGGCTGATATCATTTGAGATGTCAGCGGCTGGGTTCTATTCTCCTTTTGACTTGTATCTGATTGGTACTGATTTCTGTTTTGTCAGCGGCTCAAGATTGGAGACATTACTTATTTACCTTCTGTACCATTAGTGTCAATTCCCTTTTGTTATGCAATGTAATGGACATCTATCTTACACGAAATTGACCATCATATTATAAAGATAAATCACAATGAAAGTGAATACACAATGCAATAGATTTGATGCTTCTGAAAGCATTTCTGTTAGTCTTAACCTCTTATTTTTCCATGGTATGAACTAATCAGCTGCCTAGAGTGACCCACAGCACTGCTCTGCCTGCAACATTGCATATAGTAATTCGAGAGCACATAGTAAACCAACCATAATGATTTCCCACTTTGACTTTTGGTTTATTCATACGTATCTCTTGCATCTCTAGGACTTTATAAAGCATCATTTGTTGTTTTATGCATTGTTACTCTACACAGCAAGGACCTCAGAGAAACATACAAGCAAGGTGAAGGTTCCCAAGATGATGTCCTCAATTGCTGTAGCAGCAGCTAGCGCTGGGCTACGAGGACTAGCACAGCCCATCATCGGCAATCTCAGCAGTTTTGCATCTCGCTACGTTGGAGTGGACATGGCACGTGAGATGGTAGACCTGGAGACCATCATCCTTCCCCAGCTCAACCTGATCATTGCATCTGCCGAGAGCCAACCTCAGCATGTGAATAACATAGTGCAGAAATGTCTGCAAAGACTCAAGGTAGAGCTGTCTCAAGCTGAAGACCTGCTTGATGAACATGAGTACGATCTTCTCAAACACAGGATGAAACAGAAGAAATTATCTGTGTTTTCTGTACATGGTCAGTGCCAGGGTCCTATTTCAAATCCTTTTATTTGGGTTCTCAGTAATATATCTAGCTTATCCCCTCACAACACTAAGATGTTGAATCATTTGAAAGAGGTCAAGAGCATTTTAGAAAAAGCAAAAAATTTCCTTGGTGTTCTTTCAGTTGCAACACAAGTGAGTGCTGACACTGCAGGAAGCAGGGTTATTCAAGACACAACAACCTTTCGTGAGGAAAAGGTTTTTGGACGTGACAAAGATCGAGATTCTATAATCAACCTCTTATTTGATCCTGCCATGGTTGGAGGAGGAAATTCCAATATAAAAGGCTACAGTAGCATCGCAATTGTTGGAGCTGGAGGCGCAGGTAAAACTACTCTTTTGCAATATATCTGCTCTGATGATAGAGTACAGAACAATTTCCATGTTATTTGGGTATGTATGTCACACAAGCTTGATATTCGCAAGCATACGACAGAGGTTATTGAGTCTCTGGCCACTGAGGAAACTCCTAAGATACAAAATCTCGATACTCTTCAAAGAAAACTCAAGAATTTGCTCCTGGAAAAAAGGGAAAAGGAATTATTACTTGTACTGGATGATGTTTGGTTTGAACAAAGGCACCATAGTGAGTGGGAACAATTTCTGGCACCACTCATCTCGGCTGAATTTAACAAGGGCATCAGGATTCTTGTTTCTAGTCGTTCCAAAGAACTTCCTTCAGTTCTAAACTGCAGGAAAACAGTTTCTTTAGAGGACATAGAGGAGAATGATTTCCTAACATTTTTCAGGTACTATTCCCTTGGTCATGTCCTGATAGGGAACGAAGAACTAGAAGAGGAACTACAAGGAATCGGAGATGATATTGCCAAGAAGCTCCGACGGTCCCCTCTTGAAGCAAAAGCTGTAGCATCTCGGTTGAGCAGAATGTTAGATGTTGAAATCTGGAAGCATGCACGGGATAGCAAACAACTGGATGGGAACATAATGGAAAATCTACTGTGGAGCTACCAGCGTCTTGACCCACAGGTGCAAAGGTGCTTCTTGTACTGCAGTATATTCCCAAAAGGATACATGTTTCACATTGATGAGATTATCTTACTCTGGGAAGCAGAAGGCTTCGTGAGTTCTAATGGCCGTTCGGAGAGAGCAGAGGGAATTACCAGACAGTACTTTTACGAGCTGTCGTTATCTGGTTTTTTCGGCAAGCAATCACATGGGAAAGACAGTCATGTTGGGTATAGAATGCATGACCTCTTTCATGATTTAGCAGAAAATCTTTCTATAGATGATGGCTACAGGATAGAGACTGAAGAAAATACTGAAATACCACAATTTGTCCGGCATATATCTATCTCTGTCCCCAGTCTTGAGAGGCATGCTGCAAGCATTTGCAAGCTTGAACAGCTTCACACGCTGATCTTTTTCAACCCTGTAGCAGATATTGGCAAATTTCTCAAGCCAATGCTGAAGAAGCTGAAGAAACTCCGTGTGCTGTCCCTCTGCTTTTTCAGCAGTTACACACTACCAAAGCACATAGGCAAGTTGAAGCATCTCAGATACTTGAATCTGGAAAGGACGTCCATTTCCAAGTTGCCAAAATCTTCGTGCAAACTATACCACTTGCTAGTACTCAAAATGAACAAAAAGGTGCCCAAAACATTGCCAAAGAAAGCAAACAATCTCATCAGTTTGAGGCGCATCAACGGCCCTTTGAAAGACGTATGTAATGTCGGGATGCTTACTTCTCTTGAAGATATGAAAGAATTCCAAGTGAAGAAAGAGAAGGGATATGAAATAGGTCAGCTAGGCAGCCTGACCAAACTTCGAGGACATCTCCATATCATGAATCTTGAGAATGTGCAAAATAGGAATGCGGCAAAGGATGCAAAGCTCCAAGAAAAAGCCAATCTTGATGCATTGCGGTTGGTGTGGAACCATGACACATACAAGAACAACAATGTTGACTTGGAGGTACTCGAGGGACTTGAGCCTTCTTCAAGACTGAATGAACTTGCAATAGAAGGTTACAGATCCACTTCATACCCAAAGTGGTTAAGCGGTTGCTCTCAAAGTTTGAGGTCTCTTGAGCTCTTGAACTGTACCTTTCTAGAGAACCTCCCATCCAATCTTCAATGCTTCGCCCGCTGCCGTAGTCTAGCTCTTCTGAATCTCACAGGGCTCAAGAGGCTGTCACCTCTCCCAGAAAATCTCACAAGTTTAAAATTCGGTGGATGCTCGTCACTCTGCTTCATTTCAAAGGAGGAAGAAGAACATGGAGTAAACCCGGCCAGGGAGAAAGCTTTGCAGCCTCTGACGAGCTCTACCGAGCTGGAAACACTTACTGAAATCCTAAGACTGGATGGGTCAGAACTGGAGCAGTTTCAGGCATGCTTCCAGGAGCTCCAGTATCCAGTAAGCACAATTTCTGCCAGACGCCGTGATGTTGCGCAACTGGTCCTGCCATTAACGCTCCGGAGGCTCGAGCTATCAAGCTGCAACATCACAGATCAGGCCTTGTCTGAATGCCTGCGAAGCCTCACCTCTCTGAAAGACCTGGCACTGTTGCATATCACCACCTTATCTGCACTCCCGTCAAAGCAGGTTATGGAGAATTTGTCCATGCTTTCATCGGTGGGCATAACTTCATGCCGGTCTCTCTGCTCCGTGGCTGGCTTGGGAGCCATTGCTTCACTTGAGAAGTTCGCAATAAGCTTCTGTCCCTCACTAGAGCTCTCGGACCGCCGCATCCTTCCCTCCCAGCTGAAGGAGGTCACGGTTCGTGGCTGCACGATCCATGATGGTTTTCTGCATGATGATCTACCATTTCTGGTCAACCTTGAGATATCCAAATGCAGAACCCCCTCGGTTCTACAAGTCGGTGCATGGCCTTCTCTCAAATGCCTGAAGCTGTGTGATTGCCTGGATGTTTGCTTCCTAGTAGGGTTACCTGCTCTGGAGTCACTCCAAGAAGTGCAGTTGGTGCTCCCAAACCTTGGAGCTGATTCTTTTACCGGATGCAAAGGGAACTGGAGATCACTCCGAGTTAGGACATCATCTCTGCTCCATGATTTGTCTGAACTAGAGGGCTTTGCGCCCCCGATGCTGCTGACAATTGAGGGTTGCCAAGAGCCAGACTTCTCGTTGGAGGGCATTCAAAATCTCTCATCAATCATCGGCCTGAGTTTCATGAACTGCAAAGTCCAATCCATTTCAGCAATGAAAGACCTCGCGTCTTTGGAGACTCTTGCCTTCTTTGACTGCCCATTGCTGATTTCATTGCCTGAACTGCCTCCATCAGTTCAATATCTGGACATAATTGGCTGCCAAATCCTGGAGAAGAGTTGCCGATCCCGTCGTGGGGAAGACCGGCGAAAGATTTCTCAGATCCCTCACGTGGTAATGTATGAGTAATGGTGATGCTTGGAACGCTGCGAGCATTCTGCAAGGTTGCAATTGGTGTTCACTTGTTTATCCTAGATATCCTGCAAGGTTACTTGGAGAAATGAACTTTTCACCAATTACACTCGCAGATAGATTTAGTGATTTTTTGAAAGATTAACTGTAAGATTTCGTCCTTCAGTAGATAGATACCCCTCTATGAATATTGTCAAAATCAGTGAGTGAATTGGGGATTTAACTGTTGATCCATTGAGTTGGCCCTTAGGGCTAATATGAGATGAATACAACGTGAAAAGACAGAAATACCCCTTAACATATACACACTAAGGGCCTGGAGCTGGAGCTCAGCCAAACAGTTTCAGCTCCACCGAAATAGGGAGTGGAGTTGGGTGAAGCTCTCTCACAAAATGTACCACAACTCCACTCTAGACCTAACTGCTGAAGCTAAATTTAGGAGTTAGAGCTGTACCGAACAGGCCCTTAAATCTTGGTAGCTCAACTCCTAATATGGTGAAAAATTGCCTCTCAACTCTGAAAACTGCTTAAAACTTCATTTAAAATCTGATGAAAGGGGAGACATAACGATTAACGTGGGACGAAATCCCTATATGACAAGTGAATACTTTCGTCAGGTTTTCAGTTCTTCCTGTCCTTCTCTTCGATTCCTCGTGGTCTGGTCTGCCATGGCTACCACCGTCGCATTCTCCCCGGCCGTCGCCAATGCTCTAGGAGAGGGAGGAGGAGCGATTCTCTGCCTGCCTTGAGAACCAGAGCCACGGTCGTTAGGGCCGGCGAGGTCGGGGAGGACCATCGAGGAGTGCGAGGCGGACGTGGTCGCCGGAAATGTTAGGAAATGATAGGCAACAAACGATAAAAAACAATAGATCAATCACAAAAGACACGAGATTTAACGTGGAAAACCCTCCCAAAACAGGAGAGAAAAAACCACGGGCGCCAACCAGGAAAATATCTTCACTATATCTGGGGTGAGGTTACAACGCCGCACGGCGGCTTACAAGAGGTATATATATGGTAGAACCCTAAAAGGGATGACGATCTGTTTCGCGGGGGCCTCCGCTCCACTACGGCAGAAGTTACCCTTTATTAAGTGCAAATGAATTTGTATCAGACCTCTGAATTTGTAAGTTATCACATGAACCCAACAAGTTACAGAGAGCAATGTTTCATCTGCTAGGTGAAGCCTGGATGTCCTCCGGCTGCAAAATCTGATGATATTTTCCTAGTGTATTACTCATGTTCAGTACAATTTTCTCTAGCATAACTGTCCTTGAAACCTGTGTATATGTAAAAGTATAATTTCCCCCAAAGCTGCCGAATGAGCTTGTCCCATAATGACATCAAGGCTATGAAACTTTCCCATTCCAGCCAGGATTGACAATGTGTGTAGCAGTCCTTGAAACTTGAATTAATGAAATGCACATATGATGCCTGATCATTTGTCACATATGTGCAGCTGCCAAGTTCTATGTGTGTCTTATCTCGTTTCTTGAATGGTCGTATTCGCAACGACATTAACCATGGTATTGTCTTGTAGGTCTCCGGCGAGTACTCGATGATCAAAGCCGGCGGCGCGCTGAAGATGGTGGACGACGAGAGGGTGATGATGGAGTCGCTGCTGTGCCTGCCTCCGGCGAGCCGGCGCCGACATCATCCTCACCTACTTCGCCGGCCGCCAGGCCGCCAACCTCCTCTCCGGCATGCGCCCCGTCTCATCCAACTGATGCCCAACTGTACTGTACGTGTGCTCCTCTCTTTTCCCCTCTGCATCGCGTATTCGCGGTACGTCGTCATCAATGTGTTGCGATGCCTGGACATTGGGGATGAATAGGATACGAGATTTGATAGGATCCTATACTCGTGGGGTTCACATGGTCATTGACAGGTGGGGCCCACGCTCCTGCTCCCGCCAGTACGTGGCCCTGGCTTCCAGTGGCCGCGCTCTACTGGATAGAGACTGGAGTACCTCTGACTCCCAAGCAGGATTCACCAAATCGTTTTGGGTAGAGTTACCGTCATCCCGCGGTTTAGCGGTTATCGTGAAAACCATGTGATTATTATGGGGTATACTATGATTTTAAAAATTGAGAAGGTTACCGCACGTGTGATAACCATAATAACAGCACTGTTTTATAAATCCTATGTCAGCATGACGTATCGGTGACGTCATCATCTATGAATTACCACTACCCTGGTTAATTACTCCGTTAATTAATTTTGTCAAGGTAACAGCGGCGTGGCGGCGCGACCAAGCTATTCCCAGTGGCCGCATCTGCGCCATCCAGCCCACTACCAATGCTACTGTCCTCCAATCAAACCGGCTCATTGTTGCTAAGAAACTAGTAAGTCAGCTGCAAACATATTTTAAAAAGATAAATAAGGAGAGAGAAGTGCAGCGGGCTACTTGTAGCCAGCTGTAGCACGAACTCCAAGACACAGTGTGTGTATGATAGGTGGGATTAGATATTAATAGTGTAGTATGTAACTATTGTATAAATGAGCTACTAGATTAGCTATTGATAAACTGAAGCTAGTAGTTGGCAATACTATTGAACTTGCTCGTAGCAGTGTCACGTTATCTGCAGACAGCCGGATGCACACGTCGTGTTGTTCGATGTGCAATCATCGAGAAGATTGCACTACTGGGGGCACAGGGTAGCGTAGTTGGCACTTTGTGAAATGAACATGGTTCACCGGTCCCAACAGCCGATCCATTCGATTCGAGCACCCTCCAACACTAGCTTTGCCGTACGCCATCAGGAAGGAAGGAGGATGACACAAACTGCAATGCCTAGCAGAGGGTTCCCAGATCTCGAGCTGGTGCGAACAACACACCTTCCAATCTTCCATATCTCGTAGTCCTATATATGCACTCCCCCCTTTTCGTTTGGATGATAAGTGAAAAAGACAATGCTACCTCCGTCCCAAAATAAGTGCAGCCATATGAATCCATGTCTAATATTTGACCATCCGTCTTATTTGAAAAAAATTTATGAGAAAATTAAAATAAGTTAGTCACACATAGAGTACTATTCATGTTTTATCATCTAATAACAATAAAAATATTAATCGTAAAAAAAATTCAAATAAAACGAACGATCAAACGTGAGACATGAACAGTGTAAAACTGCACTTATTTTGGGACGGAGGTAGTACAACATACTCGTTTACTTTGAATAAAAATTTTATATACTTATTCTTAACGATGAAATAGTAAAGGCTAAAAAAATAAACTTTGACAAAAAAAAATCAAAATAAACTTTAAAATTAAAGTTGAAAATTTAAATTTTCTTTAATAAGCATAAACGAAAAGATGAGGCCTCGCACACAAACAAGAGGATCTTTAGTATATCCTCCATCTTGTTGCACGTACAATATGTGTTTCTAACTCTTTGATAGACGGGTTTTTTCTCCGAAACAGGATAGATTTATGCTAAGAAGATATTACAGTAGATCTTTGTTGTTAAAAGAAAGAGAGAGAAAAACATATGAACACTTCAAACAAACGGGTTCTACATTTTGAAATGTCGCAAGAGCTGCAAGAAGACAAACCATAACGCTCGTAGACTCTGGTACATACAAAAGTATAAGAGCGAGTATGGAATAATACCGTTTTCACTCTTCAATCACCTGATAGATCTATAAAACGGATGGCACTGATCAAGTTAGCGTCTTTTGAAACAGGTGCTACCGATTGGATTATCGACAACATAACATGCATGCATTGGTATTTTATCTGAAATATTGATCATGGTACAAAAAGAATAGTTTACCACTCCACAAAATGGGAACCGACTATTTCCCATGCTGGGTCACTTGGACAGTTCCATATGCCAATGTCATCGAGTGACAGCATAATCAAAGTGACAACCTTTGGGCCAACGAATCATCAACTTTTTTCCTCAAAAATATCATCAACCCTGTCCTTCCCCTAGCATAAATCGGTCTGGCTGATTGTATTGTGTATTATATATTAACGTGCAATCTTTTTTGCCGAAAAAAATCATCAACCTTGGTCTAATGCTTTTTAGAGAAAAACCACCTGGGCTAATGTTGGCTTTGGCAGGAGTCATAGCTACGCGATCCAAAGGTTGGGCCAGAGACTGAACGTAATTATGTAACGTGATCGAACCCAACCACACAAATACAGGCGGTCGCTAGCAGCAGCACATGACCCCCAGGTCAGAAACGCGGAGCAACGTGACCGCACGTGGGCCCCGGACCGACCGACCGACCGACGGACGATCCACGGCCACCGGCGTCAGCCGGCCACGTGCGGCCGGGATCATCCTGGCCGTCCATGGCACCTACTTGGCCCACATGAACAGCCACGATGCCGCTGTGGCGCTTCGACCACGGCGTCTACCGGACCACCGACCACAGTGGCACAGTGTTACGCACCCCTCTCTCTCACTGACCCTTGGGCCCAACCATGTAAGAGCTAGTTCAATAATATAACCAACTGCTAGCTTAAAAAAGGTTAAAACATAAGTAATCTATAACCAACATACTAACAATCTACTCATATAATAATTAGTTATATATATATATATAGCATATAGGAGTATAATATATCGTATCATTAATACATACCTCTTCCGCTAAAAAAGTTTCAATTCTAAGAATGAATTTGGACAATCCATCTTTAGAATTTTTTTTATTGGATAAGGAGGGAGTAATTCAATCATCTCTCACATACTGTAGTAGCTTGTTTTCTCTCTTCTCCATATAAGGGCATATTTAGTTCCCAAAAAGTTTTTTCCTAAAACATCATATCGAATCTTTGGACACATACATGTAGCATTAAATATAGATTTTTTAAAAAACTAATTGCACAGTTAGAGAGAAAATCGCGAGACGAATATTTTGAGTCTAATTAGTCCATGATTAGCCATAAGTGCTACAGTAACCCGCATGTACTAATGACCGATTAATTAAGCTCAAGAGATTCGTCTCGCACTTTCTAGGTGAGTTATGAAATTAATTTTTTTATTCGTGTCCGAAAACTTCTTCTGATATCCGGTCAAATGTCCGATAAGACAACCAAAAATTTTCTCAGAGCCTCAGAGGTCTTTAGCTCTTAATCCAGGTGATTATCCTTGGAAAGATGGCACGAGCCCACGAGAGCCATGGACACATGCATATGATCCATCGCTGATGGCGACAGCGAGAACAGGAGGCACACACGAAGTACAAGACGATGCCCACTTCACTCCCTCCTCGGTTTCCAGTCACGGGCGCCGATCTCATCAACCACCTGCATCTCATCTCATTGATTCTGATTCTCTCATCTCTCTCACTCTCTCTCATCGCGTAGCTGAAGACAAACGCCATTTCGATCCTGATTTGACAATCACCTTGCCCTTTGAGATCCTTGTGAAGGCAGCAAAAAATTTGAGATCGCCTCTCTCATGCAAACATTCTCATGTCATTTTGCATGAACCTTAACGAGAAACTAATCCATGCTAAACATGAGCTGTCGTAGATGTCATGTCATGTAATTAAGCTCAAAATTACACCGAAATTAATTAATTAATAAATCCGATGATTTGATTCAGATTTGAGAACGAGGAAGGAATCAAAGAAAGAAGGAAGAAAGAATACATAGCGGAGCTCTTTTAATCCAATTTTTCATCCAATACTCGCGAGGAAGAAGAAATGAAAAGAAAAAAAAGAAGAAAGAAAGCAAAAAAAAAAATAAAAATCAAGAAGCAAAATTACTACAGGGAGATCGAGGTATTATACTGGCGGGCGCCGCTCGATCCGCCGGCGGCGACTAGTTGTACGGCTTCACCGGCGGCGGCGGCGACGCGTACGACACGCCGTACACCGGCGGGAACGGGAGCTTCCCGCCGGGCGGCGTTGACGTCGACGGCGGGTGTCCACCACCGTGGCCGCCGCCGGTGCTGCTACCGTGAGACGGCGGCGAGCAGTTGTGCGGCGTCGGCGGCGGGTGGAAGCTTGGCCCCGATGGCGATGGCGGGGTGGATGGATGCGAGTGCGATGGTGGCGTGGTGGTCGGGGTCCCCGCTCCCGGCACGTGCTGCGTCGGCGGCGACGCGCCGGGCTGGCCCGACGGCGGCTGGTAGCCGGAGGAAGGCGACGGCGGCGAGCCGGAGGACGGAGGGGTCGAGGGGATGGGGCCGTACGAGCCAGGCGGCGGCGCGAACCGCACGTCTGGTCTGTCGGCCGAGGTCGGCGGAGGAGGCGTGTATGTCACCGGCGGCGAAGGGTAGGACGGATGAGTAGGCGTGCTCTGCGGCGGCGAGTGGGACGGCGGAGCGGTGGAGCTCGACGGCGGTGACGGGTGTGATGGGGTGGTGTGGCCCTGCGGCGGCGAGTGGTAGGACGGGGTCGTGGAGCTCGACGGCGGCGAGGGGTAGGACGGAGTGGTGGATCCCGGCGGCGAGGGGTGCGACGGTGTACTGGGCTTGCCACCATTGGGCGACGGGTAGGACGGTGTGGTCGAGCTCGAGCCCCCCGGCGGCGAGTGGGACGACGGTGTGGTGGCGCTGGATGGCGGCGACGGGTAGGACGGGGTGTTCGACCCCGGTGGCGCCGGGTAGGACGACGACGGCGAGGGGTATGACGGGGTAGGAGAGCTCGATGGCGGCTGCGGGTACGGACCTCTGCGCCGTGGCGGCGAGCTCACCGGCGCCGGTGGCCCTTGGCCACCACGTCCAGGGCTACCACCGGGCGTCGGGGTGTAGGACGCGGCCTGGCATTGCGCCTTGCTGCAGTCGAACGGGTGCGCCGCAGCGGCGGCGCACTGCGACGGCGGCCGCTGCCCCGGCGCGCCGGGGATGCAGTTCCACACGCCGTCGGCGGTGGCCACGCCGCAGCCCGGGCGCGAGGTGATGAAGTTGTCCGTGTAGGTGAAGTTCTTGAGGCTGGCGAGGCCGCAGACGCCGGCCGGCACGGCCCCCTCGAAGAGGTTCCTGGCGACGTCGAGCTGCTCGACGGCGGCCATCCCGGCAACGCTCGCCGGGATCGGGCCCTGCAGGTGGTTGTCGCTGACGTCGAACACCGTCACCTTCCTGAGCAGCCCCACCTGCGTGGGGACGCAGCCGGTGAGCTCGTCGGCGATGAGCACGATCTCGTTGAGCGTGTCCGCCATCTTGCCGATGGACGGCGGGATGCATCCCCCGAGGTTGTTGTGCGCGAGCACGACGACGCTCGCCGGCGAGTTGCCGAGGTTGGCCGGGATGGGGTTGCGGAGGCGGTTGGAGTTGAGGAAGATGGCGTCGAGCGGGCGGTCGAACAGCGCGGGCGGGATGGAGCCCTCGAAGTCGTTGAACCTGAGGTCGAGGTAGCGGAGCGAGGGGAGCGCGAGCACCACCTCCGGGAACGCGCCGACGAAGCGGTTGTTGCTGAGGTCGAGCTCGTGGAGCAAGCGGAGGCGGCGGAACGTGTCGGGCACGACGCCGCAGAAGCGGTTGGAGTTGAGGTGGATGAGGGCGAGGTCGGGGAGCCCCAGCGGGAGCGACGCCGGCAGGTACCCGGCGATGTCGGCGTGGTTGAGGTCAATGCCGGCGACGACGAGACCTCCACCTCCGCCGCCGCCGTAGCCGGGCGACGGCGCGCAGTAGACGCCGTTGTAGGCGCAGACGTTGGCGCCGACCCAGCTGGCGGTGAAGTTGGAGGGGTCGGAGAAGATGGCCGTCTGCTTCCACGCCTGGAGCGCGGCGTACGCGGCGCGGAGGCGCGGGTTGGGGAACGCCCACGACGGCGGCGCGTCGTACCGCGACGCGAACGACGCCGCGTACTCCTCCGACACGTTGCCCTCGTGCTGTGCCACCGCCGCCCCGAGCAGCAGCAGCAGCAGCGCCCACGCCGCGGCGGCGTGGCCGCGAGAGATCATCGTGGAACGACGCGGCGGCGACAGGAGCTTCGCTAGTGGGAGGCGAGTGTGCAGTGTGTGGCAGTGTGTGGGGGAGCGTGGGGGTGTGATGTGTGAGGAGAGGGAGTGGGCATTCAGAGCGGGTCACATGGGTGGAGAGGGGTCACATGGGGGGTGGCGGTGCGGCGGTGGAGGACGAGGCACGGACGAAGAGGAGCGCGAAGGGAGCGTTTTAACGTGGGGGAGTTTGATGATTTTTTCCCATTTTTTGAATTTTTAAATTTAAAAAACAAATATTTTCAAGACTTATTTTCTACTCCCTTCGTAAAAAAAAATCAATCCTAAATTAATTATTTTGGGACTGATGGAGTAGATCAGAACATTTTTCCGCTCCAGCTCAACAGCAGCTCAACAACACTGTTACACCGGTCTAAATGGCGTGACCAGTGCTATTTGATCACGTTGATTCATGGATACACCAATTATAATGTTGTTAGGATAATACTATCACACTAATTATAGATTGTGTGACAATTTTATTTTAGCACGCTAGACAGTATTGGTGCCATGGTGTGGCTGAAAGTTTACAGATTTTGAAAATAAGTTTTTGAATTGTTTATTTTTTGAATAAGAAATAAAAATTCGAGTTTGGTGGTTTGGCGGTGTGATTGGGGACGTGGACGGATGGATGGGTTGCAATGTGGAGGTACGTGTTGGTTGCTGCGTTGGAGTAGTGCTGGGCTGCTGGCTGGTTTGGCGAGCTGGATGGAGTTGTTTACGCATCCCCATGTATGGCCGTGGCGTGATATGGTACTACGCGTCGGTGTTTGTGTTCGAATTAGTAATTCAAAAGGTTCGCGCCTGTGGCGGCGCAGAGCAGACAGCCACCATGGATTTCAGTATTCTCCCGCCATCTACTTTTTAATAGTTATATTTTATCTTAAAAAACAGACCAACGATGAGTCATTCTACTTATTATCTATTTAAATACACTACTAGCATTTCTCGTAAACAAGCGATTCATTAATATTTACATTTTTCGATACCCATGTAGCCAATCTTGTGTGGAAGAATGGAGAGTCACGCATTAAATTTAAGAAAGCCATTAAGATGATAATTTGTTGGATTAAAATATGTCTATCAAAAATAAATTTTTTAGATTTGGAAATATGACTATCAAAAATAGATGGAGGGAGTATTTCACTAGCCGTATCCAGAGTTTGCAAAACCGCTCGGTTTCAGTCTTAAAAATCAAACGATTTTTAAATTTTTTTGACAACAATTTAACCACATTTCGCCAGGAGATAAAGGTTTTCAAAAAACTTCTAAGGATGTGTTTAGTTCACGCCAAAATTTAAAGTTTGGTTGAAATTGGAACGATGTGGCGGAAAAGTTAGAAGTTTGTGTGTGTAGGAAAGTTTTGATGTGATGGAAAAGTTAGAAGTTTGGAACTAAACTCGGCCTAAACCTTTTTTTTTTACTCGGGAACGGTTTGATGAAATCCTGGCTGTATTGCTGTTTTAGAAAACTCTTTTTGGTGAAAATGTAAATTTAAGCATATAATCCGTCTATGCTTCTGTGTGGAACCAAGCGAGCGATGAATATGAAATCTCACAGATATTGAGCTGATTTTAACAAGGTTCATATAGAATCAATGCTTTCCTGATGGACGTAGCCCTTGTTTAGTTCTAAATTTTTTCTTCAAACTTTCAATTTTTCTATCACATCAAAACTTTCCTACACACATAAATTTTCAACTTTTCTGTCACATCGTTTTAATTTCAAACAAACTTTTAATTTTAACGTGAACTAAACATACCTGTAGTGCAATTCATGCATAACAAAAGGACGACCTCAGATTCCAGCGACAAGAACTGTCCTGAGCCCAAAATTGATGGTGTTCACCTACGGAGTACGTTGCAAGAAATGGAAACTTGAAAGTGATGTGGTGGAGACAAGGCTTAACACATGCCCAGCTCAATTTACTCTCCAGTTCAATTAGCCAGTCTTGACTAAACTAATTACTACTATTACTACTAACTGGGAATCAGATCATGGACCATGCCTGCATTAACTGGACCACTTGGTTACTTACAAGGATTAATTACCACCAGCTAGAGTCGTCGCCCATGAAGTCGTTGCAGTTAATTATGCAAGGTAAGAGGGTAATTAAGAGGCGCATGATTAGGTAAGGATCAGATCCAGAGAACCTAACGTGCCGGCCAGGTTAGAGTAATAGTTGCACTAGTAATACATCTCCATTCCGTACTGTTTCCTCTCAAACGATTTCAAAGGCATCCAGCTTCAAAACTTTTTGAAAGCAATGAGAATGCAAGAGGAAACAGCTTGTTGATGCAGACAAAGGTGTCAGTAATTTAACCTAAACTTCTTGGAAGCTGGTGCATTATTGTATTTGTCCTTTTGGGTTCCAACTCCAGTCTCCAGTGCTCTTAAACTTTTGATTTCTTTTTTCAACATCTGATAATAATCCCTTCATCATCCAGAGATCAATCCAGTGTTTCCACAGGAAGCTCTGACACCCTCTCCCTTGTTCAATTGCTAATTAGAGGGTCCCACAGCTCCTTGATTGCATTGGCTCCAGTTGTACTACTACACTGAAGCTCTGCAATAGTACAGTAAAATTAAATGGAAAAACTTAGTGGTATTTTCAATTTTACAGGAGAGAGAATTAGAGAAGACAGTGGCATATTCATGAGTAATTAGTCAGGCAGTAGACTACCAAAATCTTCTGCAGTAATAGCAATGGAGTCTCTTGCACTCAATGATACTACAATTTGCAAAGCTGATCAATGAAATAAAGCTAGCTAGCTTAGACTGTAAACGTGTACGAGGTAGTACTACAAAAGCTATATATAATGCTACTACCAGTATAATTATACTGGACTGCCAAGTAGTTGCTGTTTTTTTTTCTCTTTCCAAGAGTGTTTATATAATTAGTACCCCACTTCAGTACTTCAGTAGGAGATCTATATACATGTTCATGTACTGTGCTGTACTTTTCATCCGAGTTGGCGACACCTTACAGAATACAGAGAGATATGCAAGGACGTAATAGCAGCCTTCAATATGCAGTTATGCCAATTTGCAACATGGAGTAGTAGTAATGATCATGGCAAAGTATAAAGCCGTATGTATGCTAGTATGGCTGTAACATGGAGAGATGAATGTAGTTCACATGATCTTGTCTCCAAATTCAACTGAAAAAAAAATAAACGTACGAATCGTTTGGTTTGGTTTGGTCCTTTTTATTCGGAGTTATTAAGATCCATGTGATGACCATGTATGCATACTCTAGTTAGCAGTTACTTCCTCCGTTGCATCTATATGAATGTGAACAATGCTAGAATGACTTACATTACGAAATAGAGGGAATACTAGTTTAGTATTAAATTAAACTTTGATTCACCGTACAAATGAAGCTGGGAGATATCAATGAAATAGACGGTATCAAACAGTAGAGTAGAGGTGGTGAACAGTACGACGACTGGTACTCCTGTAGAGTACCATATGTCATTTTTTTCATGTATCATTTTTTTCATGTATATATCTGCATTTCCGGCGCATTTAATAGGCATGAAAAATGCAATTAGCAGGGCGAGATGAGATTAATTTGGTTTACACGTCACCTCATGCACTTCGTTGTTGATGGAGGCATGGCCATGTGCATTAATCGTCGTTGGATCAAAGATATGAGAAGCGTTTTGATCAATCTGCATTGATGCTTTACGTTTGTATGGTACTCCCTCCATCTCTTTTTATCCTTTTTTATATGATACTATATTGGTTAGTTTAAAATCAACATCAAACAATTTTTTTTAAAAAAATCAATGGTATTATATTGTAACTATGGGATCGATCTGAGGTATTGTGGTGGATTGGGGATCAGTATTCTAATCCATCGAGGAGATGTCTTCTTATTCAGTTTTTTTCTCCTTAATTACATTTTTTCTGGAAAATATAATGTGTATAGTTATGAAATTTATAAAAATGTGTGACAACATTAATTCTAGTGATGTACCCTACTACCTTTGTTTCAGTTTATAAAACTTTCTAGCATTACCTATATTTATATAAATGTTAATGAATCTATGCACACTTATATATCTAGATTTATTAACGTATATATGAATATGGACAATGTTAAAAAGTCTTATAATATGAAACGGATGAAGTATATTCCAATAAAAAACCAGGTCAAAGATCGATATATCCAATGAGAAACAAATAGAAACAGTTTAGACTTGAGACTTTATCAGATGGTTTATATCTATTGTAGTATGAGTTCGATTGGGCTGAATGGATTGGCTTTTTCACGGCATGCAAAAAGAGAAAAGCTTAGCGCATTATAATTGACCATTAATAATTATGAACTTAAATAATGAATTTGTTTAATTTCTAAAAAAAGTCTATTAAAAATTCTATGAAAAACACACCGTTTAACAATTTAGCGAGCATGCTTATAGAAAACGAGATAGCCACTAGCCAACTTAAGAAGCTGCCTCGAACTCAGCTAAATTGTTTTACATTATTTTTATAACTATTTACATTATCATTTAAGGTAATTAGAGACATCCACTTAGGGATTCTTGGAAATGGAGGAAATTTGGAGAGATTCTGTATAATTAAACTGAACTGAAAAACGTGCATTCGGAAGGAACTCTTGAAGTTAAAACAAAACAGTTTCCCATGAATTGAACGGGACCATGGAATGATCGATCTGAGCACGAGCAGCAGATACGCGAGCTCAGCTAGCAGCTAGCTGTAGCGCCAAACGCTGCCCTTCCCTGCAACTTGCGATGATCTCTGGCCCTTTTCTGCTTTCTACCACGGCGACGCGTAAAGAGAGGAGAAGACAGAAGACGCGTTTTGATCCACCTATAGCTATCAATCATCACGCATTGCTTGCAGCTGAGCTGTGATCGAGTTTGCCTTTTTCTCTCCTTTCTCTGTTCGCTGCATATGCTGTTGCTGATCGAGTACTGTACATGCATGCAGCGTCTGATGCGATTGCGAGAAAGTTCAGGACATTTTTCGGCTTGTCTCCCATTCTGCCATTTTCATCCTCCTCACTATCGATCCACTCCAAAGTCCAAACCGTCACTGGGAGAGTCCATTTCTCACAAGCCAAATTGGGACAAAGTCCAAATCGTACTACTCCCTCTGTCAAAAATATATATAATATTTATA